CTTTCTTGGTGTTAAACCCTCATTAATTGTATGCTCTAACCAAGAATGAAGATGCTTGATGCTATATTGACTACGATGCTATATATCTCTAAAAGTATTTGTAAATGGAGCATATATTATGACTAACCTCATTGTACATTCTGTTTGTGTACATATTCTGGGTGCTCGGATTCTTGCACAATTTGATAAATTCGCGCCTTTGTTTATATATTGTTTTGCTTGTTCTAAAATTTTAATTTGCTTGCAGTCTTCCGGGGGATGGGGAATGAATCATCTGGAATTTAAAAAGCAGGCATTAATGGCAGATGGCATAGACATGTAAAATAAAGACAAATTGACCAAGTATATGATGGCAGCATTGTATGTAATGGTAACTCATAGAATTCACAAGCTGTGACAAATTATTAAAGAGATTATGCACATTGATATGCCAATTTATGAAAGAATGTGTATCGTGTAGTTTCTTTTGAAGTGTATTTTTGGAAACGCCAATAAAGCCACAAACCATATGAATAGCTTCTATTCCATGTTCAAATAATGGAAAATTTTACATAAGACCAGAACTGCAAACACCATGGAATGCATACAATCAATGACTGAACTACCATAGTACCTGTAAGGGAAGTATCAATCTCAGTTGCTGTACAGTGTACCATACTTGTTGATCCATAGTCATGGAGGCTTGCGTCTCAAAATCCACCACAACTTGGAATGAGGAGAGGTGAATGTTTAGTGACCCTGAGACACTGACAATTTTGCCCAAAACATGTGCCCACCTGAAGTATATGGGCCTCTGGGAAATGAAACCAAGCTAACACTGAAAAATGAAAAATTTCCGTGAACAATTCATTTAAAGAAATAAAACTTAAGCACTTGTATTGGTTCAACTTTTGAACAAATAGCACCAGACCAAAGACACTACACGTGATCTCAATGTTGGACAACATCCTCTGCCCCTGTTAAGGTTGATATTTCAAAGTGACAATGTCAACAAAAGATATCTTCAGAAAGCACTGTAGTCATGGGCATTGTTTATGGGTATACATCTTTAAACAGGTGCCTTTTCATAGACATGTTTTTATGTGCATCGCAATCTGTAAGCGTAAAGTGAAGGAGTTTCTGTACAGGAGTAAAACCAATGCAGATATGGAAATGTACAAGAATAATAGAAAGGAAGCCTCCTCCTTCAAGGCTAGTTTTTGGAAAGGCAGACACGTGTACTGGCATTTCTGGAGTTCCGGGGTTTCAGTGTACATGCTATGATAACAAGAGGTCCACTGGTACATCTACACGTCTACATTTCCAGCTATATTGGTTATACATGTACATGTGTCACTGGTTTGGTAGTCTGGGACCAGTTCAGCAATGAATACCATGCGTATGCATACAGGCATGCTCAGTGTGAGGTGAGAAAGGCGTTGTTCCTGTTGCCCCATTCTTGTGGACGTCATATGCTAGTCTCCTGCCTCTGTTTGATCCACTGGCTGAGATTGGTTACCAGTGTCTGCTGGTGCCTCTGCAGCAAACTGTATGTAGACCCCACCGATTGGCTCAGTATGCCAGCCAGCTCTCCCTGTAGGACACGTTTTTCGGGAAGCTGGGAGAATTCAGCCATCTGTTTGGCTGACATCAGTCTGTTTTCCACTAGACCGCCTAAGAACAAAGAATGTAAACTTTTTTTTACAAACACAGATGTGAGCAGGCTCCAGGCTTGGACACTTTAAATAAAGATTGAGTAGTTTAAATAATGGATCACCTTCTAAATATACCATGACTTGTGACAAATTTGGCAATCACATGGGAAAACCACAATGTTGAACATGACAATGCTGATGTGTTCATTTACATGTACATGTACATGTATCGCATGGACCGTATGTGAGTTGAAAGTTTTCAATGTACGTGTACAGTGGAAAAACACACAAAGGTGCTCCAGCGGTTGTTTTATTTGTACACCGTTGTGCACATGCTAATGAATAAACATCACAAACTGATACTCTAATAATGAAACCAGGGATTTCTTAAAAGTACCCTAGGAACTGTAGCTTACAACCCTAAAGGAACGTGAAGAGAGGAGACAAAGAGAAACAATTACAGAGCTAGCAGAGGGAGGAATACCCAAGGTGAATGTCTTAAGTGAAATCCATGCAGCTAGGTGAGGACTGAAAATCCAAAACACAAGTCACCTCTAGCAGGATTTGAAACCTGGCTGTCGAGTTGGAAAGGCAAGGAAAGAACCTGTTTGCTGAGAAATGAGGTACTCACCGAGCAAGTGAATCTTGGGGATCTTCTTGGTCGCTTTGAGCAGCTCCTTGACGAGCGGTTTGTCACTCACGGCATACACATTTTGTCCAACAAGCAGCGGGCTCATGTTCTCCAGCCGGGTGCCCAACAATGCCATTCGCATGACTTTGTTGTTATACATCTTGACCGTAATACCCACTTTGCGTAGACGACGCCTTATGATGGACATCTCCTCCGCCGTCAACCCCTCGTTGTGAAAGGCGGCAATGAGGGACTGCGACAGCATCTGCTCTCGGCACTGATTGGCCATAAACACCTCCACCGGTGGCGGCTGCCAAGAAGATTAGAAGGAAGAGTGGTTTACTGCATTGGATTTCCCTGGTTGTGGCCTAGTCTTCTGGAGGCAGGCAGACACCTGTCAAAAGATCTCGGTGCCTGTTTTCTTTAGCAGGATATTGTGTACCGATTGCAATTAATTTTCCGCCCAGGAAGCATGGTTATTCATAAATGGTGAGGGGCTGTGACGAAAGAGCACTGAGTGATATCGTTGTACCGTACTGATACATGATATATGCAATCCAGGGTACATAACAAGGAAACTGCTCCAAGGGATTTTCTTCTGCACACAATACTACAGCCTACTCACTCCAGCCTTAATGCACATTCTTGTCAAAACAAAAGACAAACACGGGCAATGATACATTACAGAACAACTTCTACACTTTTGGTTTGTTTGGCGTCAACGATGCTGAAACCCTCCCCCTACTGGAAACCTTTTTGTAAAGTTAACAATGCCTGCTGTGTGAAGGAGATATGTGTTTCATTACTTTACTAGCAGCAACATCCACTTGCGAGCAGCTAGTCATAAGCTGAAATGTACAAAGTTCTTATACTTTTGCACAGATCAGGTGTACAAAAAAAGCTGAAAGTCTGGGTCAACATCTAAATAAAAAAACTGAAATCAGAAAAAAAAAGCTGAATTCTCATACCCCCTGAATCAGACAGATTGAAGAATCACGAATGTACCTCTGCCATCACTAATACACCCAGGATGTGTCAAAATGCACCAGTATGTGACAGGCAGCATGAGCGTTTTACCTTCGTTTCAGCCTTGGGCTTGTATCGCATGGAGCACTGCTCAGCCAGGGGCCTGTTATCCTTGGGTTTCTTGTACTTGGTAAGCTCCATCAGCTTCGCTCGGGTGATGTGCATGGGTCTGGGTGTGCGAGTGTTGACGGACTTCATGCTGCGGACGGATGTCAGTGACGGCAGCCATACCGACACTGCGTATTAGGACAGACAGCATTCATTATGAATGACAAGATGATGTAAAATTTCTCTGTATATCTGACTAGCAATCCAGTGATGTCAAACATGTCAAAAGCCACCTCTGCTATTCACATGTACACAGTGTATATGTAAGTAGTGTTCATGGTACCCGTTGGTTCAAATTCTGCTCAGTATACAACTAATTTTCATGAGTGCCATGGTCAGGTAAATAAGAATGATTAGCCGGGCATGACTGGTCAATCTTGTGCACGATTGCTTGATCTGATTGCACGATTAGTTCAGTAATAATGCTGCCATCACCTGACCCTGCATTCATTCTAATTCACTGTTGTAGAAAGCTGTATCGAAAAGTGAAGCAAACTGGAGATTTCCTACAGGATCAGCCAAACATGTTGTCTGATTGGACCACTAGGCAGATTGGCTGATTACATCTACATGTAACTCAACCACTGCATGAGGTGGTACGTTGTATGTAGATTGAATTTGAATGTACATGTTTTATGTATGTACCTTGACTGTTGAGGCAAAGCCAAACGGAATGGACCAATCAGTCTAGGTACATGTCAGATTACAACGTTATTGTTTGTTACCGGTACATGTACATTAATTGTTCTTTATGTGTACGCATGCTAGGACCATGGGAGACCATTGGATAGTGAATGGGCCACCCAACTGACATAAGAATGGGCATTCTGTAATCAAATATTGGAGTCAATTTAAATAACAATGGGAGTATATTCTTAAAGTTAGGATGAAAAAAAGGTCATCTGGGAAATGAACCTATCTGGGGAAATCTGACCTGCTCATAAGGTACCTGTATATATATGTACATGTGTTATCCACAAGGCCACAACTTTTGTACAATTGATGATGGGCATGAGGATCGGTCATGCTATTTAGCGTCAACAAGCGTCAACACACACAAGTAGGGTCAACAAAGCGTCAACAACTCAAAAATACCCTCTACAGATTTATCATGTTTATACGTGAATTTATCATGTAAATCATTTTATCATTTAAAGACTCTAACACTTGCCATTGTGTAAGAAAAACACCGAATTTGCTTCCAGATTCTCACAGCAAAACGAACATTTTTCATGATGTATGGGGGCCGCCATCTTTCTTTGCATGCCATCCATGCGAAAACAAGATGGCGGCAAGTGGGACTGCACAAACAGGCCCGACTTTGTCACTCAAATTTCAACACTCGCATATCATTTCAGATAGATTATGGTACATTGAATTGACATTTAGGAGCCTAATTAAAATTGTAAAAAAAAAATCTTTGCATCAATATTCTTGACTAACTTGTTGACACTTTGTTGACGCTTGTTGATGCTAATACTATAGTATAGGCCCAGTATGACACATGAAGAGTGCTTGAGATGGGCGCTGAGTGAAATTGTTAACGTCACAGCCATACAGGTATGGCAGGATGGTTACTCAATGAACACGATGAAAACAAGATTACACCCCCTGCCTCCCTTGGAACAGTTGACTGCATAAATTCTGTTTGGCAGTGCATGTCCGGAAACTGGGCACAAATTATTAAAAACTGCGAATTTTTGGTGATCGGTTACCCCCAGAACTAAATGTAGATCTGTGGGGTACGGGTCCGACTACCCCCAGAACTGTGGAGTCTGACGTCTGCTCCTCTCCCACGTTCTGGGGGTGGCTTATGTAGTGGTGGGGTACCCCAGTCACTGCCACTGCCAGTACTGTGGAGTCTGACGTCTGCTCCTCTCCCACGTTCTGGGGTAGGCTTACGTGGTGGCGGGGTACCCCCGTCACTGCCACTGCCAGTACTGTGGGGTCCGACGTCTGCTCCTCTCCCACGTTCTGGGGGTGGCTTACGTAGTGGTGGGGTACCCCAGTCACTGCCACTGGGGTCCGACGTCCGCTCCTCTCCCGTCGGACCCCACAGTTCTGGGGGTAGTAATCGTATTCCTATTCTTACCTCTTAATTTTGAGCACTTGCAGAAAGCACCTGAAGCCATTCGGCTACATAACATTTACATAATTTCGATGAACCATGAAATGATCAGTAAAAACCCAACCCCATAAAAACAAAAGGAACTCTCCTCTAGACTTGATGGAGTCCTCGTCCTCTTTAAACGTGAAAGGATCCGAAGAAATGGGCGTCTCATGTCGTACGAGGGCGCTGTTGATCGGAGAAATATGGAAGGGCTGCGTAGCATGCACTAGTGATCAGAATATCGACAAGAATATAAGATTGAATCGGTGCTCTGAAATATATGATTGCCGAGCTTTCGGTGACTGAGTGCCTTCCTCAGGGCGTTCAGCTTGCCCCGAAGAAGGTACTCAGTTACCGAAAGCTCGGCAATCATATATTTCAGAGCACTGATTTAATCTTACATTCTTGTCGGCGCAGTTGATCGAGCGGTTTCGAATTCGAAACGACTGACTTTGGATTCTTCGGACTTTAATACATGTAGCTTGCACTTGAAGCCTCGCTTCTCAGTGTTTTCGGTCAATATATTTAAATATATAAACGAAACCTGCTGTTTTAAGCAAGGCCTCAACATGGCAGAAACGAGTGAAGCGGAAGACGAGGCCAAAGCCAGTCGTTTGTAAAGCATTTTCCCTGATTTTTTTTGGAGTGGGGGCAGCATTGATGTCTGTATCAGCTTCACTGGTGCATGTGCAACTTAGGCAGCAGTGACAAATGCTTCCACTTCAAAAATCTGGAAAAGTACTCACAAGATTCTCAAGTGTTCAGACACAATTCAAACTAAAAGTCATCTTTCATTTTCCTTTCAATTTTCAGTTGTTTAACCTAGGACTTTTGAAAATATTTCTCTCCAGAGATAATCAAACCCCTCAAAAAGTCACGAGGCCCATTGTCACGGGCGTGAATCCCTTAGGGATGGGGGTACAAGTAGGATTTGCCGCCCCCCTCCACACTTTTTTTTGGGGGGGGTGAACATCCCTCCCCCACTTTTTGTGGTGAGCAAAACATTCAAATTTTTCAGATGTCCAACTAATTTCGGAATTCAATATCACTGAAAAAAAGAGAGAACAAAAGCAACAATGCCATTCTGAATACATAATACAGTTGTACATCACTATTATGAACATCGCCCTCTATATAGAGTCATTCCCCCCCCCCACACACACACACACTTTTCAAGTTTTCATGGCCTGGCAAGTCATCCCCCAACCTTTCTCTAGCCTTTTGGCACAAATTTACGCTACTACCCATCGCCATGCATGCATAATGTCATTGCAAAACAGCGATTTGGAAGGCCCCGCTGTGTCCCATGCATTCAGAAATACAAGCTCCTTCTGGTAGATTTCATCCTCCTTCTTTACAAACTATCCAGTCCACGTGCCACGAAATGCACTAATTGCAGTTAACCTATTTTAAACCTTTATTTTACAATTTCAAAGGGCAATTGACTGCCTTTTTAGTTTTATGCTAATGTAATTTCCATTATTTCCATTTTCCCCAGATGACATCACAGCAACAGAGCCCTCAGTTGTTCAGGAAAACATAATTTTAAAAGTGCACGTTCCGATGCATTTAACCAAACATAAATATAGAAGAGCATTCACACATCGAAGAAGACTACAAAATTGCACACAAATTTTGTCAAAGAAAAAGTCATTGCAACTGTATTTTAAGAAGTAAAATCCATCTAGTTGAGAACATTCTCACTGAATATACACTACTTTAAAAAAGGTTAGCACAACTTTTTATTTTGTGTATACTTTTTATGTGAGATTTACCGCTGAAAATGTGAATTTGATGTTTTGAAACATTTTTCAAATTTTCTATTTCAATGAGAACTCCATCTAGACAAACAAAAAATGAAAGGACTAGATTCCACTCATTGGTAAAAATTACAAGTTCAGAAAAAAGTGGTCCTTAACATTTTGAGGAGTGTACGAATGCGTTGAATGGCCACAACCCGATTATTTTTCAGACAGCAATAAAAAAACTGAAGTTTTCTATTGAGGCTCTTCTACGCTTCCATTCCGAGGCATGGGTGTGGCTCTTTTCCCAAGGCTCAGGATGTGTCACTCTATATAACACTTTGATTGTATGACACGGTTTTTGTGAAAAACGGCCATCTGCTATGACAGAAGAAATACTGACTTTTTGCACCCTTGATTTATATCTCATTTAGTTTCTTTCTAGTGTTTTTCCAACTTGGTCTTCCGCCGAGGGAGTTTTCTCCTCACGAGAAGATCAGTGTACGTTTGTACCCCATTTGAAACTTAAACAAGTTACTTGAGCATCGCAATTTCTTTTCGGGATATATCTACCTATTTGTGTTCCTTGCTCGATATTGGTCACACTGTACACATGATCCCGTAAATACCTAGTTGTCATATACATCTACGTGTGAGATTGTGGTATAAGTGTTTGAAAGCAGTCCATTATTTACATAACAAAAGTGCTATTATACAGGTGCACGCTTGGGTACACATTCCTAGTAAATACAGCTGGAGAATAGTATGGTATTTTGTCGTTACACGAACTGATAGCTTTTGGCACCCTTGCTCTGCCTCACCATGTACTAGCTACGGACGGAACAAAGCTACCATACCCTGTGCCAGAAGATTTCGCCGTGGTGCTGAATTCAAGTGGTGAATACAAAGTTTGGCTTTTATGTGCCCCCGATTCTTTGTTATGCCAAACAGTTGGTCATTGAAAAGCACTCTTGTGAGGCAATAAAACGAAGGCATAGTCATCTCTCACACCCAACTGCAGACCCCGGTACCCGTACGGCGCACCGTGTGTGTTCCATAGTGCACCATTTTCCACCTTGCTACGTACTAAGCTCTCAGCAACTTGTCAGCGTTCGGGCGTGTCGATAGTGGTGGCAGAGTTTAACCACTTTCATCCGATCATAGTTTGAATTTGGAAATAAAAGGTAAGATAACAAAAAGGTCCAAACATTTCAAAGTAATCTTTGCGTTTTCAGTTTCTTTCATGACACGAGTGCATTATTTACTCCCATCGTTATCGATTTAAGTCGTGGGAAGTTAAGTCTTGAAACGAAGAAGCCTATAGACTGCAAATTTACTTTCTCTGTTTCTTTGACCTATCATTTGGGGAGAAAGGAAAAGAATTTTCCACCCCCCGTGTTTCATTGTGTTTAAAATTTTTTTAAATTTCTATCGAAGTTTGGAATATTTCTTAACAAATGAATTTGCCCTTTTGCCGATAGTTGAGATCAAATACATGAACACCTGGCTTTATTGACCTTTCCTGAATTGATCCTTGAACGATTGAGAAAAGAAACATGGCGTCCTCCGCTCTTTGTACGACTTTTTCGAATGATTTTTTCCAATTGAATTTCCTGGTCGGCGGCTGCATTATAATTATATGCGTGTAATAATATTAAAATAAACTACACGTATGGTTGTCAGATGCTCCTTCCAATGTAGTATTGGATGGTTTGATTGTACTGGTTTGGTGCGTTCACCTGCCGACGAAAGTATTTTCTCGCGTGACATGTTTGCACCTTCGGTTTCAGAGTGACATGAATAATCTGTGCCATTCCCCCGTTAGTAATCAATGTATTATGTTACACAAAGAAAGTTACAGTTTTACGGTTTCAAGTTGTGAAATAAATGAACGTTTAACGTACTGCACGAGGACTTGTCTTGAAGTGGCAATAATATTTTATGTTGCTTCCCTTATTTAAATTGCGCAATTAAGCATCCCGACCTCCAAAGGAAGGATGAAATCTGCAAAAACGATGGGTTTGCAACTTTTTAATAAAAGTAGTGGCCACTCCCATTTCAAATTCCCGCCTAACACCAACTCGGAAAGAATTCCATATCCAATGACGATATTTTAGTGTCATAAACTTCTTCCGGTTTCCATACCTGATACTCTTGGTGCCGAACCCTGTTTCCTCGCTGAAATTCTCTCAATTAAAACCCTCCTATGCAAACATTCTTGACACAGTTGTCGATGTCATATAAGTCGAAATCAGTCAAATTCCATAATATGTGTCTGTACTGGGGCAAATCAAGGGGAAGGAATTTTTGACTGTTTCTGATGGTTACAGCAGAAAGAGGGTTAACCCTCCTTGTACAGACGATACTTTTACAACTTCTCAACGTACACCGATTCAGAAATTGTGACGGTCCAATATGGAGTTCTTGCTCGACTCCGTCACACTCTTTCGTTGGTGGCCTAAGCAAAGTTTGGCCTTTACAAAAGGGGGTACATTTAATTCCAATTTGCTGGAAACCTGTTGCTCAAAAAGACCCGTAAATGGAATCCCAAACTGGATTTTAAGATAAATATATTCTCATTTTAACCATTTTCAGATATGGCATTCCGGTGGACTTCGGTTTTTGCACTTCTATGCATGGCCATCTGCGTTTCGGCAGGTAATGTACATGTACATGTAGGTTCATTCCGAAATCATGTTTGTCGCTGATGACTCGACGACATCTCCGTTTTTAGATGGAATCTCTTCATCGTGTTTCCATGACGTGGTCAAAAGGCAAAAACTTTACACACACTTGACATTTTCTATGACAATAACAGAGCACAGAACGGATGTGAACTTGAAAACGGTGCGTGTAGCAAATAGGACAAAGTCCACCTTTGAGCACCGAACCCGGAAGCGTTTGTAGCCATTCGTGGAAACTACAAATTAATTTTTTGAGCCAAAAGAAGGCAGTCTTTCAAAAATTCAGAATCGTGTTCATTTACACGTGTCGTAAACAGCTGAAGACTTCACATGGTCAACATTTGGGAGTGCATGTACAAGTACTCGGTCCATGAAATCTGATTTCCAAATTGGTTTTCAATTTTTACACGAACAAATGTCCCGACATTGTATCCAAGTGTGCAGGTATATTCAGCGTTGAAGTTCTCACAGAATTTAATTGGCCTAAATGACAAACTTGTTTCTGTGCATTATGAATGACATTTGTAATAAAATTTCAATAATTCTGCGATCATGATTTATAAATGCCACAACACAGAGATCAAGAAGTCGTATTAAGCAATTAAACAGTTCATATTGTGCACATTGGACGGCGTTGTGCTTTGCCAAACTTGTGGTCGGGGCTTGAGCACTTCATGATTAACTCTTCAGTGTCTGTGAAGTGCACACGTACACATGTATTACTTTTGAGGTGTCCATTACGCCATTGTATTTTCCAATTTCTTTCCCATTCTTTCTTGAATGTCTACGCACTGCAGCGGAGGAACCTTCGTATCGACTAGCTGAGCTCTCGGCAGCCGTTGGGGGCGTGGTCGGTGGCCTAATGCTAGTCATTGGTATCTCATTCGTCATCTACGACTTCACCTGTCGGAATTACTTTAGCGGCAGGGCAGGAGAGTATTTCAGGTGATGATGCATGATCTTATTTTCTAAGTTTTTTTTTTACCCACCAGGACAAATGTTCTTTCCACTGAGCGTTCAAAGCGTTGTCAGTGATAGAGGGGGAATTGAAGAGGTACTCCATACTCGCAAGTTCACACTGCACATTTGGACGAACAAATCTATCTATACATGTAACTTGAATCTTTAACTATGATTTCCAAGGTGGTGTAAAATACTTTGAAATTCAAGAATTCACCAGTACAGACATTAAGTTAAAGAGCGCCCTCTCTTTGCCGAGGGACATCGAAGTTCTGTTTTCTTTGTCAATAAATCTGCCAAAAACATACCCGTATAAATATTGATCTCCTGGCCGTAGTACTTCATCCATCCAAAGGTCGATTTTTTTTATCTAATTAATGTTTGAGAAAACTTCAGGAAATCCAATTACATGTATCAGGCACATCTCGTTAGTTTCCAAAGCAGGATATAAATACGTGTACGGGTAAACCCGCCGAAATCACTTACTCCTTTTCAGTTCTTCTACGAAGTTTTTTTTCACCCAATTCAGTTTTGGTCTTGTTTGACTTTACAGAGCGGATGAAGAGGTGGCGGCTGGAAACTCAACGAAACTGTAATCTGATTGTATTGAAGAATTTTATTGACAGTGATAGATGAAACGAAACAAACCTTATCTTCCGGATGCACTAGCCACTGCTCAGAATAGCAGTATTTTTAATGGAAATTTTTTAAAAACGAGAACAACGTGTTTTAGTATGCTGTACATGTACATGGATTTGACTTGTATATAACCTTTTTAGTCTCAATTTTAAACTAAAATGCAAACTAAGGCAACAAGGAAGTACGAGTGCAGTGAAAAATCATGTCACTGTGTATCCTTGGTATCGATCAAAACACCTGGTACAGTGTACTTCTGTTCATTATTTCAACTTCAGAATAAAATCCTGTGTACTGACATTAGAATTTAAGAATTAACATTTTTGAAAAAAAAAGCATGAAAACGAATCATGGATATGAGAGGGATAATACACTAACAGTGACTGGTACTTTGGAAACATCGACACTTCCCTGTATACATGAATTATTGGTTTAATTGTTAGCACGTATACGGCATTGACAGAAAACAACACACAGTGCAAGTATAAGCCTTTTAATAAAAAAACTAGAATAATCCAGTATATGTATAGCTTTTGTAAGGAATGTTTGTAAAATTTTAACTGGATTAATTTTGTGGTTGTCTGTGCATGTAGATGTTGGGTGTATTACACAAACTCTAATGCTCTTTTTTTAAATTGAACAAAGAGTGGTTTATTTGGAGTAGTTTATATTTGAGTCTTGTCTTGTGTAGCGTAGGTTTTAATGATTTTTAAATTCAAATCAGAGTAATTAGATGTTTTAAATGCATTTTCAAATAAAATATTTATATAGAATATGTTGGAAGTTTAAACGTGCGTTCATTTGAATTGAAAGGCCAATTGCGCGGGAAAATAATTGCCTTTGTAACCATTGATATTTGTCTTGAATACTTAGCCATTTCACTCGTTACTCCTCGTCTTTATCGGTACGGATGACCTTGTCTATTTGCCTGGCCTGAAGTTTGCTGATCTCGTCCAGTGCAGGCGCGACTAGTCGGTCCGGCTCGGCCCATGCCGGCAGACATACTCCCCCAGACTGGGCATCTTGCAGGTCGAATACACTGACTATTCTGTTGTCGATTAATAAAAAATTTTCCAAAATCTCAGTTTCGTATAACATAAAGTTACTCTAATACATTGGTGCGACATCTCTCAAAGTTATCCTTGCAGAATTTTCGTGTAGCTATATACATGTAGTTTCAGAAAGTGACGCTCCTGATGCAAACGCAAATGCTACAGAACGTCTCAGTGACCGTATGTCATCGTAGAAGCCTGACAAACGACAGCCTATATACGGCTGTCCTGTGTAATTCAGATTGTCAAGGTGCAATCGAAATACCTTTATTGCTGTTGGCAGATAAGGGATTTTAAAAAATCTGTTTTCGTTGAAGTTACTGCAACAAATAATGGTTGTCAAAGGAACCCCGTTATCAGCGATACACGCAGAGTTCGGCACTTACGTTTGTCTATAGGTGACACATTTCAACCCTTTGACGCAAGGACATTCGTGCGGCAGCTGGTGAGGGACGCTCCTTCGACCAATTAATTTGCCGAAGAGAGAAAGCGCTGAAGAGTTATTTTCTTCCTTGGTCTTCTCTTCCCTACCGCAGCAATGCTGGCCTTCAGTAGCAAGAGGACGGCAGACAGGCTCGGCAATTCCTGTCGAGGAATTCATGCACTGTAAACCGTTTCGAACGGGACTCAACGGTCTGGCTTGAGCCAACAGAAACAAGTCGCTTGAAAACAAGGCCGGATCCAGAAACAAATTGTCGGGGGGAGGCTAACTGTCGGCATTTTCTTTGTGACCTTTAGGCCTACAGGCTCAATGGGATGAGGAAAATAAAGGGGGCTTTTACACGTATAATTAGGAAACAAGGAAGGTACAGGAGTCCAGTCAAATCCCCATCTCTTATTCTACTCTATTTAAAACACAAAAAAATCCCTTGTGGTTGCAATGGTCCATGCTGCCTCATATTGACTCTGCGTGTAACTGATTTCTTATAATGTCTAGTATTATGTACTTGTTTTAACGTATTTAAGTTGGAATGTAACAGATTTCCTACGTCAGATACGTTCGCTCAATGCTAGTGTCTATTTGCTCAACTTGAGCGGGGCGTGGAGTGACGATAAACTTAACTTATTTAAACTTAACATAAATAACAAACCTCAATACACATATACATGTAAATGGTGACCGAAATTCACCAAGTAAAACGTATGCGTAGAATTTACTTAAACCACTTTAAAAAAATCAAATCCAACCTTCTACAGAAGCGCAGCATTCGTTATCGCCGCAGTCCGAATCTTTGCTGCAGATCGTCCCAACCTGTCCGCTGGTGGCGCCCTCTCGACAACGCCCCCAACGGCAAAGTCTGTTGTCACAGCAGTGGCTGTCAGCGTGACACCTGTCACCGTCTTTTGAACAGGCTGTGCAGTAGCTCAAATCGAAGCCAAGAAATATCTCCCGGTGGCAGAAGTGTTGCTTGGCACAGTTTGCGTCCGTCTTGCAGACCTGAAGAGCAAATTTTACAAGTTTTACCCATGCCACCGTATCCCTCTCTAGAAATCTAAGCTTCTGAAACCATTTCTCCATGCTGAAACAAAGGATAACGAAATATAGCCGTTACATTTTGTCATGTGTTTCCCATCTGTAACCCTGTTACGGTCCGGTATTGAAAAAGAGACACTCCTGTAATGATTTTATAATCATACATGTATTTGGGGTAAGGTCATGCAGCTCTGATTGTTTTAATTTTGTTCAGAAGTTGATTTCTACATTGGATACAATGTGTGGTTTTCCCCTCAATTAGACAGTCGGTGGTCTGTTTGATAATCGATAGATCAATCTTTTGATCAGTCCGTATGGAGGTCAGTACATCGGTCGATCAGTCGCGCATGGTCGTTACATCAGTAGGTCAGAAAATTGGATTTAGTTGGTCAGTCTGCAGGGCTACCGACATAGCCACTCGGTCGGTGGGTCTTTTGGTTTGTCAGTTGTCTGACGGTTTGTAAATTCTACCTTTTTATGAGGCGGTGGCTTCACCTCCGTTTGGAACACAATCATCACTCCGTCTCCGTCCACCATCTTATCAATAGTGGTGTTTACGACGAGTGTTATATCTACCAATTTTTCTGACGATGGACGTGTTGTGTAGTTCCCCCTCCGGAATATCATCAGCAATGTCAGACTTTTTCAAAATAATGATTTGTTGCCTTTCACTCCCGCTACTTTGGGTCAACTCAGCAAGTTTATCTTCAAGAGCACAAAGTAATTAATACATTTTTCAGCCATACAGAAACCGGAGTATTTGAGCAGCAGAAACTCAACGAAAACAAATATTTTTATTTTGCACGATTTGACATTAGTTATCCTTGGAAACAGCCTGCAATATAACTTTTTTGCAATAATTAGGCCTATGTATTTAATGCACATACACATGAGAAATAGACTATGCATACACTCCAAAACAAAATCACTGTGACCAGGTCGTACTACATCATAGGTCTTACCTATACATCCATTCAAAACATTTTGGCTTTGTATTTAAAAGTATCCTTTTAAATCTGCAAGCCATAAAATCTAAGGCAAAGACACAAGCTATTCAAACATACCATTTGTAACAAAGACATCCCCGTGACTTCAACAACCTAGTCTTGTGAAAGGACTTGCAATGGACTTGACCACGAAGCTCATACCTTTAATAGCCGAGCTACCGAGAAACATGTCGACGGAGTTGACCATATCTTCTAGATGACGCTTGGCCGTTGCACTTCCACGATCACCGGCAGGCAGCTGAACTGTGGCAGCATCGCTGATAAAGCCCACGTTGAGTAGAAACACTGGTAGAATTACGAGGAGTCTCCACCACTTTTGAGCGGGAAACATCAATCCCATGAAAATAGTCATCATTGCTCATAAAAATCTGCGTAAACAAGAAACTTCTTTCAATAAAACACCACTCTTCGTCTCACACTGCTGTTGCAAGCTGTTTTGGCTATGATTGTGCTCGACTTTGGCAACTGTTTTGCGTAGTAAGCTTTTTATTGATATACATATACAACTGAATATCAACGGCTCACACAATTAAAAAAACTCATTTAATCGATACCCGATGTTAATTGTTCCCCGACAACAGCTGTGGTTTTTCTAATGAGAATCTGTACTGTGTAATCCAGTATTCGATCGCAAGAATGTCATCAGACGTTTTTTTAAGGCTTTGTTATCATGCGGGTGTTGATTATTTTACATCAATTTTAATCAGTTGATAATTTTTTTATTCATACATTGTATTCAGGAGAGACCAACTTGAAGGCGGAGCATGCAAATCGAACCAATGCAGGCATTATTAAGCCTGCATTGTTTACATCGAATTTATAACGCTAGAACAGCATTGTGTATCCAAAATTGAGTATGGGTTAACATGTAGGCCTTAGGTTCAAATAGGATTTTTTTTTCTGAAAGAGCTGTTTGTTTATATTAGTTTTGCATGAAAAAGTGCGTTCGCTCCACTCCTTATTCTGCGCGCGCCACCTCAATGTGGCCTCGTTCTCTTGTCGTTCTGCTGCCGAATGGTCTGTCTCTGTTGATAGGCGGCGCTATACGAGCTGGTAGTAAATTTTCAAGTATTGCAGTTACACCGGCAGGAAATAAGTACAGACAAGACGCGCAAATACGGCAGGTAAACTTTGCCTTTTTCGGTATGTTTTAAGTAAACACTTAATTGTAAAAGGCTCTTCATGGTATAGTGGCTTTAATAATCCTTTCTAAGTTATTACGAGAAGGTACTTCTCACATAGATTGTAATGATGTTGTCGTCTGGTCGTGTGTCCAGTTTTCGGACGTAGGGGCCTACATATATGAATGATGATGCATGATGTGGTTTAGCCCCACTAGTGTGGCACGGACTCTCACTCCCGCTCCATCCTTAGCCACACATCCGTTTACGCAATTTTGTGTCGGCGTATTGAACATTTCGGCGCACCAACTTGTCATCGTGGGCGCAATTTCTTTTTGCACATGAACATGATCCTTCACCTTTCCGCTTTCTAAAAACCATTTGTTGAATGATTTCACTCACGTTATTGAGTTATTTTCCAGTCTTTTTGCCTTTATCCATTCAATCTAACGGGCTCGCTGTCACAGTCGCCATCTTTAAAATAAGGTCGTTGAACATTACGTCACTTGACCAGTAATCTTCTCGACAGCTGTTCTGTGTCAAGACATTTAAACTGCTGCCAATGTTTTGGAAGAGCCCATTAGTACATGTAGTATCTTATTGCTGTCCGTGTATTACATATGTCATGACATCATCGTATTTCCAGCTGGAAAAAAAAGTCTGCAAGCTCACGTGATCACTGGCTGCTTTAATTGTTGGATTAGGTGGGTGGGCTCATTACGGACTGTCATGACTGGTGTTAAACATGACATTGCTTGTGACGCGAACATGCGTGGCACGATCAGTGAAATATGCATTAATTGTCTGCTGTATAGCACATGTATTATGGGAATAAAATGATGCTTTGATGTTAGAGACATTACAGTATTATTAATTTCATGTGCTTTAGACTGGCGACCATTGTGTGGTTAGGGGTCTGTGACTGTGTACAAGCAGGCACATTGTCTTCTTTGTGTGAAGCTTAAGTTGGATAAAAGCTGTTGGTCCAATTGGATCTGACTTATCTGAGATTTACTGTAATCAAATCTGTCGAGCATCAACTGCCCAACTTGTGGTGTGACAAAGAAAAATATATCGGGATCCTGTGTTGTTTTCATTTCCTGAGAGGAGGCTGTCGTATCTGTAGTGGATGCAAGTAGTGTGTAACAAGTAATGTCCAATGTGCAAGGATAATGATAACAGCCTTGAGCATCTTCATAAGGGATATGTTTCGTGCTTTATAAATCATTATTGTTAAGTAATTCATTAAACATGTTCTGTGTTCTTCTTTTGCAGAGATACTGTAAAATAATGACAAGTGTGCGTATGTGTGATGGTGAGAGAAAGCTCAATGTAAAAAGTAAACTGAACCAGTTGTACATGTACATATGTACACCAGACTAAGCACACTGTGCATGAGTTCATTTTAACAGAGTATACATCAACATAGAGTGAAATCTTATTTCATAGTTTCGAAGAAAGGGGGCACCAGGCAGGAACTGTTCAAGTAGAAACTGTACAAAACAGCAATATCAGAAAGTTCCAGCATTTTTAAGAACATCCGAAGAACTAAACATGTCGTCTCCACCTAAGAAGTTTGAGCATCGACTGTCACTGAAGGATGGCCTTCAAGGAGACTCTGTTGACTCAGGCTCCAGCACTCCTCAGGGTTTCCTGTATGAGACCAAATTTGTGGTGCTGAACTATCTGGGGCTGGTACCGCCAGACCTGGATCCTGGCTACTCCGAGTTTGACATCCACTACGAGAGCTCTGCCAGTGCCACGCCCTTCAGCGTGTCTGATGATGACCGGTCTAGTGCCTCCAGCGGCTCTCGGCGGTCCAGTGACTTGCTGACTGTCAACACCAAGGCCAGGGCCCGCCGTTCTCCAAAGATCAGCCCTCAGTCTTCTGCCTCTTCCAGCCATCCGTCGCCGGCTGTCGTGAACTCGTCAGCAAGTGTCTTTGCTGGATTTTCTGCTCCCCAGCCCATTCCCTCAGCGGCACAACTGCCCCTGGCTCCGTCCTCAGATTCCATTACGGTCACCACAACCCAACAGATTCACTCCAGGAGTTTTGTGGCGGTCAGCAGAACAGTGGTACACCAGGGGGAATCTTTCGACAGTGACTTATGCACTGACTCATGTATGGATGGAGAGGATGACTCCAGTCAGAGCCAGCCCCTCAGTGAGGGGTCAGAAGAGGACAGATCTGGGGAATGTCCAGTGATTAAAATAGGTACGTACATGTACAATGATAAGAATACCCCGGACTGCTAGGTAAGTACTGAGGATGATGAAAAGCAGCAGCCTTACATTTATAACTGGTTTCCTGTATACATCCATCCCCTGTAAAGATGGAGCTACATGTATACCTTTGAGGTACCAGTACAAAGAAGGGACATCTTGAGTATGAAAACCCTAGTCTGCTGCATGCACAATGTAGTCAGTTTTGTGTTCATTTTAGTCCGCTTTCACTTGCTTTAGAGTGGTACGTGCCAAATACGAAAAAGCTGGCCTTTTTTCTATTTTATTACCAAAAGATTAATGACGACTGATTATGTAATAAGTGTAAAGTAGCACTGATAATTGAAAAAAGCTGTGGATGTGTTGTTCTTATCCGCTTGGCCAGATGACGACAGTACGGGGGATTCCTGGGAGCTTCAACAGAGACACAGGCAGGAGCTAGTGGAACCACTCCAAGAGGAAGTCCGGCAAGCCATGGCCAAACTACAGGATGAATTTAAACAAGGTAATGGCTTAGAATGCCTCTCTGAAAGGGTCAAAGAACTTGCTTGGCGTATCAGCTTAAGGGCTAGTAATACAGTCCTTGTAAATGCACCTTTGTACTCTGTTTAACCCCGTTTTTAATTTTCATTTTGCCATTTTTAAAGGGGTTCTTGGTGCCTATTGTGCATTATGCTGATAAAAATTTGCATATTCATGCACAGGATTGTGATGTCACTTGAGCAAGAATATTCCAGAATTTTGGATAATTTGTCACCTTGAATTTTCCATCATTTGCCAATTTATTTGGGTTGAAGACAGAAGCTCATTGAGCAAAGTTTTTTGAAAAAAAAAATTGGAGCAGATTTAGGGTTCTCATTTCAATCAGCAAAAGCAACAGCAGCAAAAACTTCAGCCTTGGGAAACCGTACCGATCATCTATTAAACCAGGCAGTCTGTTCATTTCTGGGATGAAGAAATACCTGCAGAAATTGTCCCCTGAACTGAACTGTGTAAGGGCTGTTGTAGTTTGGGTTACTGGAATTTAAGCCGTGTCCGAAACAGGCCTCCAGAGCTATGGCTAGGTCTATTGTCTACGCGTCTCCACACATTTCCAATGGAGCGAAGACCTAGGCCTAGCTCTAGACAGGAGATTCGGATGCAGCCTTAGAATTGAAATAGTCTCAGCTTATGGGAGACAAACAGGATTCTGTAAGTAGATGTTTTTATTGGCACTCGGGTCTTGGCCTGTGTTTTAAATGTGAAAGTCATCTTTACATCACTGTCATGAGCCCAAACAAGTTCATTTATTGTGTTTCTCCTGCATTGATCTTGACGCAATATTAGTTGTCGCAGCTGGAGATGCCAGCGCACCCATCCTCCCCTCTGCGATCTGCCCGTTCAGCCGGGAGGCCCTCGTGGCGGAACGCATCGCACAGATCGGCGACAAGATCATGCAGCAACGCGGCGATGAGCTGGAGAAGACCATGCGCATGCTCTTGGGCAGCCAATCTGACAACAACCTGACCTACAGCCTCTTCAAGTCATTATTGAAACAGATGATGAAGAGCACAGCGCCCGGATGGTATCACGTATGTGGAGTTTCATTTTTTAATTCAAACGCAAAACCATACTTTGTAGGAACCTACATTGTACTTTCATCCTTCAAAAACCTAGGCTACTGTATGCAAGGGGAAGTCATGTTGCTTTGTGGACAGTGCCCCATTGTAGACTAAAAATGGCTTGGCAGTGCTTTCCTGCATGTATAGGGCTGCGTGGACATCTGGGAGTTTCGCAAAATGGTGGGTAGCAACAACTGCAACAAACGGGCGTACGTACAGATCAAAGAAATGATTGTGAAACCGATCCTCTGACTGGCTGGTGCCTGCGTACGTCGCCATAGTTGCTGTTGTCATCAGTTACTACCCACCATTCTGTGAGAGTCCCAGATGTGTGTGCCGCCCCATAGCAAGCTTAAGGCTATTTCAAATATATCAAATGTTTGAATATTTGAATATAATCAACTAAACATTTGAATAGCAATTTGTCAGTTTGCACACTGTATTTGAGTGAAACAGTTGCCTGTAATGTTGTTTAAACAGTTAAGTATTGGTTATGATCTTTATGCAATGAAAGGTGCACGCAAAATAATGTCAACTAGCCATCACTGCATAGTACATGTATCGTTTACTCAGGCAAAACATCTTTACATCGGCACTTTCCCTTCAACTTTTAACAGGTGTATTTTGTAAAAACAGGGTCGGCGAGTTTTGAATATTTGGTTTCTAATAATCAAAACTAAATTATTTGAAAATGAATAGGCCTAATCCAGTGTTGTATGGTAGTGGAGACCTTCACCAGAACCAACACAAAAGCCGCTTACAAGTCAAGCACAAGACCATTTTTTTGTTTATTATGCCTGGCACAAGTTTGCAACGGCTTAAGAATGCGTCTGTGTAGTTCATTTGAATAGTTTGTGACTTGCATTCAGACTGGAGATCGAATGACACTGCAGGAATTCTACAAAATCCTCCAAAACTTGATGAATATTGAAGGGTTTTGGAGGCTCATTTACTTTGAAGTCACTAGTCCAATTTGCTTGTGGTCATTTAAAAGTTAAACTTGGCAGTTGGTAATGCCAAAGATATACTTCAATGATTGCAGCATATCCTGTGGCATTGTAGTATGCTCGTATTATAAAAAAGAACTACAACTTCTAAACTCAAAGGAGTCAATACCGGTACTTTATAAGCTTTCATAAATACCTGTTCCAGTTTCCTGGAAAATGGATAGATTCATGAACTTTTTTGCAAGTACATGTATACCCCTTCAAGAGTGAGAGAAGACGGAGGACGGGCAGATTTCCAGTGCCACTGGGCACCTGATGGAAACTTCTAAATGCAACAATTTGTGATTTTGTGCACATCCTGACGAAAAAGTTGTCATGTGCACTTGGTGCCATAAATCTGCAAGCCTTTGCTCCTGTGGGATCTGTCCCATGTTGATAGCATATAGTCTGGGTTTTTTCGCAAAGACGTGTAGGACAAACAGGATTCATCCAGCAATATGTCTCAAAGTGATCATATAATTTGTAAGTGTGTGTGGACTTGTTTCTTACATTTATGCTATGCCCTTGAATTTGGCCCGACACACTAACCCGAGTTGCTCTGGGTTCCCATCCAGCTTGCCTTGATGCTTAAGTTCACTCAGCACATGGCCCTTGGGCTGGTCAACAGGGGCGGACAGGGCTTTGGCTCGCTTACCAACTTTGCCGTCCGGTACATCGAAGAGAACCTTGCTCAGACTATTATTGACCAAGGTGGATGGGTAAGTGAAGAATGTTGGTGGATACTTACAGTAGGTAAGCTCATGGTGTTGTTACCTAGTCATTGCTTGTCAAGTCAGGTCAGAATTACGTTTTCCCCAAAGTCTAGTCAAATCAGGCTGCAAGCCTTTTTCTCCTGAGTCAAGTCGCAAGTCATTTCTTCAAACCATCTGATGTCATAAGCGACAAGGTTCTTGTACACTATTTCCAATGTCCTTGATTGATGGTGTGACCTGTGATGTATTGCAAAACAGGTCTGATGGACGTAATCATTTTCTGTTAAGCCAAAACAAGTCACATCTTACATGTATGTGGAATAAACTTGTGACCTGAGTCTCTTAGTCTTGAAACCTGCAACTCATTTCAATAAGTGAATATGTCATGTACCATGTAAGGAGATGGAGAGGAGCATACATGTACCACAACATGGCCCGAAGGGGGTTTGCAAAAAGGAAGTAAACCTGTTATTGTTGGAAGTTCACAAGTTTGTTAAAGCTGCGTTTAGCTTGGTTACCCAAAAGGTAGGCCATTTATGAATTGAAATAACAATGTGCATTTCCAGGCTTAAATGAACATTTCAGATCAGCTCAGATGCATGTCTCTAGCCTGTAGCTCATGATAATCCGCACCCATTTTCTTGATTGAGTCTTAAATAAACATTTGAGACAGACCAAGCACATTAATTCCTTTATTCATAAATACCTCAGACAGTCTCCCAGTCTCCCTATTCAACAGCGTGCAACTTGACCGTGTATTAACATTTGATAATGCTCGCTGAGAAGTGATGTCTGCATCACACGCTGGCGCCTGGACACGACAGTTTAATCGATTCTGATTGGTCAAGAGTCTGTGTGCACGCGGTTTGCCACATGCGCACCAAATGGAAAATTTGCACAATGAATATTCTATAAAATGGACTGGGGTGTTCAGGAAAAATGAAAGTAACATTCTATTACAAAATCGCTGGAAATCATATGCATGTGTTGACCTCGTTTGACTCTCTAACTGAAAAGGTATTTATGAATGGGAATAAATATGTGCTTAGCCAATCTGAAACTAACGTTCAAGATCGGCTCATGAGACTGAATGCCGATAATGCCCTCGCCTACTGCTCGGGCATTAGTTGCCTCCATTCTCCTGAGCTGGTCATAAATCAGGGGTGAGATTTCTCAGCTTTTTTTGTTTTGGATTTCAGCTTTTTTTCCTCACTGGCTGCATACAAAAGTAGTGGAGATTTTCACAGTTCAGCCTCTTTCTGCCTTTTTTCAGCTGTTTTCAGCTATTTTTATCATTGGTCGATCTCATCCCTGAAAAATGCTCATTTAAGACCGACCAAGCACATATATTTATTCCCTTATTAATGTGGTATTAGTTTGGAAGATATTAGTTGTTTCCATCGTTACATGACTGTCCTGAATATGCTAACACCTGTCAAGTTTGCCAATTTGAAATGCCAATATACATGTTCTGTTAGAACCTGTACCATTGTTTTGGAAGCAGAATGGAAAAGATGCCTAGATACATTTGGTTATGGTTTTTCTGTATCCTCTATGCAGATAATCCAGTTCATGTACAACTGCAGTAGCTATTGAGATTCAAAGTAATATCTGTTAAAACCAGTAGCAATTAGGTGATAAAGGGATTCAGGGTTGACATGGTTGATGAGCACACTCAGCAGTTCCTGGATGATGACATTCATTGTAGTAACGTGCCATTTTCTGAATACTTCCACTTCATGTCCTTCCTACCCAGGATGCAATGACAAATATCAACCTGGAGGACATCAACACTGAGATCCTAACTGAACTGTCATCTGGCACTGCCTCCCCCATCCCCCTCTCCTCCCAAGAAAGCCACGCCTCCCAATCCCAGGAGCCCATGTCGCCCGACGCCGGCACCCCGGTAGATTCCCCCAACTGGCACACTGACCAACAGGCCCACTTCACGTCTTCGGGGGAGGAGGGCCTGAACCAGCTTATTGCCCCTCCCCCGTCCACCTCGCCCGGGGAGATCACGCACCGTAGCCGTTCGGAGTCGCGACCCGAGGACCTGGCCAGTCTCTTCAAGGGAGAGGCGAGCGACCCTCCCCTCAGTCACTCCGTGTCTAGCCCTACCAATCTAGGAGACCGTCATGGCAGCCCTGTGGAGGGACTCGGCGGGACGTGCTCTGCGCCGGTTTTGTTCACCTTTGATGGCAGCGCTGCCGACGAAAGCCAAGTGTCCATGATGGATGTTGACAGTCAGCCATTGACAAGCTCTGGTGAATGCTTGACCGATGTCCGAGGTGGTGGTAGCGACAAAAGTAAGCAAGATAGCGATGGTGAGCAGAAAACAGGCATAGGAAAAGTGGCAGCAGCTGTCAAAGGAGCTCTCTTTGGTACAGGAAAAAATTGATGTGTCCACTATCTAATGTCTTAAATGTTGGAATGAAATATTGGATGCATTACTTTAATGTTACAAACATGGGATCCTTTGCCCTTCAAGAATGTTGGACCTGTCCTGCAGTCACAGGTCTTGGCAAGATTTTATTTTTTCACCCTGCCCATGTTTGAATTGCAAATGAAATATCTGTGCGATATAGACCATGAAGAATGTAGTCACCTTTTTATTTTTCAATATTTTAACGAATGTTATAGGTGCGTTTAAAAAATGTCAGCTGTCCTTGTTATTCATGTTTTATTTTGCCTGGACTAGTTGTTTTCCTGTTTATGATCACTTTTTTTCTACTCTCAAAGAACCATTCAGATTCCCCCTTTACCATAAATTTAGTGACCAGGCTCTTAATTTCCTCCCAGCATTTCCCCCAAAAGGCCCCATTAAGGGGCCTTGGATCATCAGGGTTATTCAGCAAACTTAACAACATATCTCACAACAAACACTTTAGAAGTATACCTTAAATAATATCCACAATATCCACTATTTCTTGAACTACTGAAACTACATGTGAGTAAATGTTGATATTTCATGCACCAAGTATTACTGTAAGTATGGTTTCAGCACATGAAACATTCATGAAACTTCACATGAAGAATAGTACAAATGTACAGCATGTTATACTATGGGTGTAATCAAACCGAATGTAGTTCGTCTGCTGATTGTCTCGCAGCAGGCTGAATTTCTTAATCGTTATCTTTGAGTGTTGGTCAGCATAGTGCCCCACAGATGTTATATGCTGTACAGGCTGGTGAGGAAATTTCAGCTTAGCGCATGGTGCGCTAAGACTCTAAGACTGAGGGCACAGCGCGCAAGATGTTTTGCGCATGCACACGTGTTTCCCTGCCAAAGGGCTGTCACCTACACTTAAAAACATACATCTGGTCTGGATAGGCTTCTATTCCCATCCAGGTAAATCAGACTAGAGATGCCGTGACTGTGGTGGGACCACACCAAACATGCTTTCTTATACATGTATATGTACATGTAGTTGATGTCTGAGTTTAGTGGGCAAGCCACCTATTGGTCAAAGAGGCATGCAGTGTGCGCTTATCACCTGTCCTCAAGCACACTGCCATCATAGCAATGCCATCTGTATGAGACATGTACTTACAGCATGCCAAAGTTTTTCTTTTTACACAACACACTGGGGTTACCAGATTTTGAAAAAAAGGCTGTAATCATGCATCTGAAGGATTTTTCTCTTCAAAGGGAAACCCGACATTTCAACAGTCTCCTGTCAAAACTGGCAATTAACCATTTTTCCAAAGGAAACGTGTTTTGTAATAGACATGGTCACTGCAGACCCCACACTCTTCAGTCTGGTGCAACAAATCAGTATGGTGCCTTGATGATTTGTCTATCATAATGTTCTGAATAATATGTACATATATGACAATTCGATAAAAGAAATATGCGTCAACCATGCATAGTCCTGAAGTCTTTAGTGTTGAAATATGCCTGGCCTTGGTCAGGAGGATTGTAGTACATGTACCGGTAGGACTGAATTATTCAAATCAATATCAGACAACTGATAATGTACATGTGTACTTAATGAACTGTCTGTTTACTGAAAGTTCACTTCCGAATCCAGTATTATTTTTTTCTTTTTAAGTGTTTTGTCCTTTTTGTAAATTTTTTTTGCCACAAAAGAAGCTGGTTATGAATACTTATACGATCGACCAACCCCTACAGACATAAAGGAATATTCCTTTTTATTTCTTTGTTTTTGATTTTCTGTTGCAGTTAACATGGCATATGTCTTGAATGTTTATTCAACACACATGGAGTCTATATTATCTCAGTATCTACCAAAGTAAAGTGTTACCCTTTTTGGGCTGTCTTTCGTTTTTGAATTTGTACTCATATGTGTGTGGATGTTCGGAAGTTGAGCATTTTACTTAAAGTTGCAGCTATTTTTTTTAATTTCAGTTGTGATTATTTTTGTAAAGGTATTATTGAAAATCTATAAATCCAATACGGTGTAATAGATATGTAATCGTAAACAACGTTTCAGAACAAATTAAAAGTTATCTGAGGGGTGATAAACTAGAAGTTTAGTTTTGTTTTTTTGTATGCGTTCAGTAAAAGTTAAATTGTTGATTTTAAACTCCCCAGAGGTAAGGCAGAAATAAAGTGCATCTGTACTACCGTACAGCGCTGTGTTGAAAGGAATTTTTGGCATTAGACCTGCTGTCGTTAGAGGAATGATGTTTTTCCCCGATGATGAACATTTGTGTTTGTTTAAGAAGTTCCTGTATGTGGTCATTGACGTCAATACACCTGCAAAGTTATGCGGCATGCTGGTAATGAAAAGCATCTGATTTGTCATTTTTTTTTAGCATTCTGCGAATCTCGGAAACATGTTCTTTGTGAAAAGGTTAAAAACACATTGAGTGCCCGAACTCACTCGAGCGAGCGTGTGAAATTATACGTTGTTCATGGCCGTAATATGTGCTTCATAGTACATGTAACGCCAACAAAACTTTAATGACAAAATAACATTTTTTCAACCTTTGCAAATGCTGGCATACTTTTTAATAATTAAGGGGCGCTGTTTTCCACTTTCTGTCGTTTCCTATACGGTATGACGTTTATTAGCATTTGCCTATGGGCCAATATTTACGCAAGAAGTCGTTATTTTCAGTGAATCAGTCAACCACATCCGAGGTTGTGTCTCTCCAGCACAAGTTCTATGGATCTGACTTGGGTTTAGTCCATGCCCTGTGGAAAAAAAAATGACAGCGGTTGGCGTGAGTAAATAAGCCATGTTTCAGGGGCCCAGATCAGTTTACTCCTCGAACTCGATGAGGGTAATAACCGTCATTTTTTCTGGTCATCTGCTCCACAACGTGGTAATGCCTTGGCAATGTCTTTGATGTTTTTTTTTTTTGCGCATGGGCGTCAGGGTTTGCCAAAAGCTAAGGGATAGCTTTGTTCCCTTGTAAAGTATTTTAAGCCTCCCAGATGTCCTCGAAGAAGCACAAATAGGACCAAAGTTCACCTGTACGGGTGTTTTCAACCCTTTCGTGTTCCGAGTAACGAAACCAGGAATCAAAGCAGTATATCTATGCATAAAAAGTAATAAAGAAAACTAGAATAGCCGGAACAGTTATATAATCGCCAGTGAAGACCGTCACGTGTTTGTGCATCTGCACAAAAATGGAATGACCCGTCACTTTACAGTCTTAATAAAGGAAACCAAGATTAATTAATCTGTTTCTTGGTTATTATTTTTTGTAAATGGTAAATCTAATGTTTCAGTATGATGTCTTCTTTCGCATGACACCAAGAAATCCATTTTTGTCACACATGACTGAGCACAAAGTGGTTTGATCGACCGTGTCTGAAATGGCTTTGCACCAGATCCATCACAGGTTTGCAAAGCGTGAAGTATCAAGCACTCTACCAAAATCATTAATTCAAAGACAACCACAGTTAAGGGTTTTTTATTATTATTATTTAATACGCTATTCATAGTACATTATATCATAGTGCTTACAATAATATAACAGGAAAAGGAAAGAGGACACAAGTATGAAAGATTATTAACAAATCCAAATATATAAGTTTTTACCAACTTTGAAAATTGGTTAACAGATTGTTCTGATATAAAGAGGGCGTTTATTCTATTCATTGGCTGCTGCGACACTGAAGGAACGATCACCAGCCTTGGTTTTACTTAATGGTACTGAAAGGCGTAATGTATCTTTACTAGAACCGTTAGGTTGGGTCTCGAGAATTATAAACATGTAAACAATCGTGAAAATAACCGCGGACTTGATCATGAAAGAACTTGAAAAAAAAAACAGTAACACTTTGAAAATGATTCTTTGTCTGAGAGAATGTGACTTCTGACTGCATAATGACATGCCTCTTTTGTAATATATTTTCTAACACGAGACAGATTCCTCTGGCAACTGAAAGCGAATGGACTGGCATATATTCTTCTTGCCACATCCCAACCTGTCCTTCAGCATGCCCCCATTTCAACGCAAACTTCTTCCCTTGTTCTCGTCGCCTTAAAATGATTAACATGCATTTTGGAGATTCTAGCGAACATGACTTAATTCTGATTAAAAAAAGCCATCTCTGGACAATACGAATTCAACATCAAAACAGCTATTTGCCGCAAAGCCATTTCTGACTTGGTCCATAAAACCAGTTTGTGCTCAGTAATCTGTGACGGAAGTTTGAATTTCTTGTTGTCGTTTGAAAGAGGACATCACAATAAAACCATTTATCAAAATAACCGGTCACATTAAAGAAGCGAACAAATTCATCTCGGTTTCCTGCTGTTTAAGACACCCTGTATATTGACAGACCATCAACCGGTAAACGCTGAGGCTTTTGTCCAGTACATTTAGGCCTGCCCGGCTTCTTCTTTGACATCGAAACCACTTGTCTGCTTCAAATTAAATGAATGATAGCTCAATCTTTGGGTTGATGTATGTGCATGTACATAGTTGGATGTTCCGGTAGCAATATGCGCGTGGGAGTTATTACGAAGCCGTCAACTTCAAATTAAGGGATTAAAAAATCAAGGAAGGGAGACGAAAGCCGAGACAACCCCGCCCTCCTGTACGGTTTGACATGGCGACATTTAATCCGAAGTAGAGGTTCTTCTCCTGCCAATAGAGATAGCTCTATATTTCACGATTAAAGGGTAACTTTGAATGTGTATAGTTACGCAACATAACGGTGGATTACAACACGCCAATCATCAAAAAAACCTAGGTTGTGGAAACTCAAAGGAGAAAGGAAGAACAGATTGATCTTGAAGGGAAATAATCTCGAGTAAAAAAAATAGCATTGTCGGATGAGCGAAAACATGCTCAACACATTTATTGCTGTTCCAGATTGTTAGCTTTGATGTGAAAACAGTGAGGTCAAGCACACAATTGGGCTCAATCCGAAATCATTTCCCGCACACGCAAAGCGGAGCAACACAAAATGAACGCCAAACAGAAACCCGATGTTGACTCCCACGTGAAATAGTTGAAGGCCGTTGATATGAAAGAACGCCAGCAAGTAAACTGCATTCGCAGTAAACAGTTCAGTATTCCCACGGATGTGGTAAAGTAATGCTTAATTATATATAACAGGTTTTGCCCTTACCCAACGTATATAAGGGCAAAACCTGTTATATATAATTAACATCTCCCCAACGCAAAAATACATCTTGAAAAAAAAGTAATGCTTCTCGTACCGTGATAAAAGAAACCCTTGGCAATAAAAAGCTTAACTTCAATACTCTTTTCATTAGTGTGCCCAGGTCACGATGCCAACAAAACAACTATGTACGTGTAAATCAAAATGTTCAAACCTTTGTTGAAGTCAGAGCCGGATGCAAAGCTTCACAAATCTAATCCTTTATATTTACATGTAGGCCTACTGTACATTGTACAGTGTATTGGTCGACCTGTCTGTGGGACACGCCCCCCACATCAGCCAAATAGGGAATGGGGAACAGAACTCTCTAAATTATTCAAATGCATCGTTTAACGTGGAGGACAGTCACTTGCAAGAATGTATTGAACCACTGCCATTACCTTTTTATTTCAATGCAAACTCTTTGTTCGTCTGATGATTTTAACTTGCCTTGATTGACAGACTTCTACTATACGGAGTCTGAACTGGCATAAATCAGCGAGATATATTTGCCACCTTCATTTTTGCGTTTTATTGCGAATATTAGTGCGACCCTGCTGATGGAAAATTACTTTAAGCCAACAACATAGAAAGCATTTGGGAATTGATACTTAAACCGATAACCTTTGAAATTAAACCCACAGAAATGAAGGCTGATACAAAAATGCTGCGGTGAAAATGTTCTTTAAATTTGTTCAACTGTCACTTTTCCCAAATAAATTACGATAGTGAAGTTTTCAGCCGATTAAGACCAACCCTCCTGCAGCTGAAGCTAAGATTTTCAATTTTTAATTGAAAGTAGCAATGCATGTTCCCGCTTTCGTTCATTATATTGGCTTAATGAAAATCGAGGTCCCCCGTGGAACATGTAGGCTAGGCCTAAAAGTTCTCAATTGCTCCATCCCTGTTGCCAGTAATGTTATGCAAATTTGTAGTTTTAAACTTAAAGAAAATTCGGTTAGCAGCGACTGAGTACACTTGTATGTAGCATATATACGCCCGTAACAAACAGAAAGTTAGGCCGTGTCCGAATCACTTCTTTACAGCCGGAAGTTACACACGACTTAATGGGAACTGGCCGCAGCCACTGCCATAGACACGTGCGTAATTTCCAGCCGTAGCCAAGTGATCAGCAGTCGGGTGTTTCACAAAAGTGCGCCTCCAAGAGTTTGCAACTCGTTGACCAATCACAGTGCGCGAAATCTGTCGACCCAACGCGCGTTTTGGATAGGGTCGACAGATTTCGTGCTCTATGATTGGCCAAACTCTTGGAGACGCACTATTCTGAAACACCCGTATTCCTGAAATAACAAACCCCTTCAGGCATCTTGGTTTTACTTTACGCAGCGCTTTTATGAAGAGTATGACGCAACAAGGCAATGTGGCTACGAAGGCAAAATCGCTTTAGAGATTTGAGTGGAAACATTCATAGAACTCAAGACGCATAAATTCACTCACCAATTCGAAAAATAAACCTATGTTCCGATTGTGTCTACATGTACATACCTCTATATCTTCGCAAGTTAAACTTATTACTCCAACTTACAGAAAACTAATGTCTATTTGACGGCCTTGATAGTTGCTTTTCTAAACTGATTATTCATGTCTGTGTTCTGGCGTTCAAAAGCTCCATGTCTTTGTGAAATTTTGTTTAAGTTAACCTTAGGGTCGTACTTGCACTTATTGTCCCAACAAAATACATTGTACATTGATAAAAATCCTACGGTACTATTGAACGTGCTTCGTTTACAAAAACTAGTACACAAGTAAAATAACCTGGCGTTAAAAGAAAAATGGTCAATTAGTATACATAAACACTATTAGTGCCTGATGTATACACGTACAGTTAGGAAGCAAGAAACAATACATTCAAAAGCTCAATGTAATATTTTGTAATATTTTCTACAAACTGATTTTCGGGGTAGGACTTGCACTGACTATTCTAACAAAATACATCTACTTGTATATCGATTAACAAATATGATGGACTTAATTTTAAAGAAATTAAAGTTCAAATAAAAAGGAGATGGTAAATTAAAATAAGGAAAGTTGTCAGGTCAGTGTACAAAATTAGTAGGTATACACATACGCTTATGTGCAGTACGAAATTTCTTAAGCCATAAATAACATTAATTGATAGATGAATAAATACGAATGCAGCACTTTACTCTTTCGTGAAGAAAACAAAGTGATGCATTTCTGTTTATGAAATATACAGTTAATTATCAATTCTCTCCGAACATGGACATTGGAAGCTTTTCTTTCATACTCTTGGACCAATCAGCTGCAAAGAATTATTAAACTGAAGAATAAATAGGCTCACTTCTTGGCCGTAAGATATACACTTTTGAAACATTCTCAGTGAACACATTTGTAATTATCCAGGCATCCAAAACTCGATCATATTACAGATCAAGAATGTGAACTCCACTTGGGAAAGAGTTGACTGTGCGGGGATCCTCGCCTGCAGCGCCTGGTAGACAGCAAAAGTAGCGGCTGGCACGTTATGGCAAATCCCCCAGTGAGCATTCGTACATTTGTACATGTAACCCTTTCAATAAACCCGGGACAGTCTCCTGCGCGTGTGCTTCGTGAAGCTATCGTTGATGGAACTGTCGCCCGAGTAAAGTACTCGTAGAAAGTAACCCACTCAAATAGACTCTTTCAGAGTGTTTTCGCGGATATAACGGAATTACCGAACACTTGTAAAAACAACTGGTACGTACATGCGATTATGGATCAGTTTACAAAATATGTGAACGTGTTTCCTCTCCAGGATCAAATCGCCTAATCTGTTGCCAAGTGCATTTTGAACAAATACATCTGTGCGCACGGTATCTCAGAAACCCTTTACACTGACCTTGACCGTCAACTGACATACCTTTGAAAAGAGGGTGGTACTCCTACATATCGATCATGCCTGGATTTGTTATGACAACTGATAATATTCATGGTGTATGGTAAAACGAACGTATGCAATATTGTTATCAGAATAAGTCTGCACGTAAATCAGTCATGAATTATTCGTTAGCAATACATACAGCCTTAACGATTTCCGATTAATGGTGGTAAAAATGTATGTACATGTATAATTATATACAATCAAATTTCGATGTATTTAAGCACGGTTATTGATATGGCTTTGGCCACAGCAAGGCAATTTTGCTTCGCTCAGCAGCCTAGTCGAAATGTAAAAGTTGTGGATTAAAGCAAAACTGTAGAGTGTATTACTGAATCACAAGGATAATTTTTTTATTTTTTTTATTAAAGCTTGTTCTTAAACTAATTTTTGTTTGGAGATTCGAATTACTGAATTGGAAATGGTCAAACATTGTTTTAAAAAAATCGATTATCAACTTCCTTTTCTCCACCATAATATTAAAGTTAGAGAGCACCGAAAAAAGTTTAGACCCAGCGATCATTTTGGAATTTTTCTGTAACAAATAAATGCATAAAAGATCAGCCCAATAGGCATTCTGTCCCCTGGGGATGAAAACGGTGCATGTACCTCTAATTGTCGTCGATGGTGTGTCATGCAAATGATCTTCGTACACAGTTCATTCACTGGTTGTTTGTTCAGTCCATCAGTTCTTAAAAAGTCCCATCCAGCGTGCCTTTCTCTTCGGTTTGCGTTCAACCGCAGAGGGCAGTTGTTCTTTCTTCAAACAAGATTCTGAGATGTTAGCTTCCTTTGAGTCATCCTGTTCCTTTTCTTGCTTCGGTTTGTTGGAAGGAGGTACGGCGTACTCGCTGCTCTGTAGAGCCCCGTCCATCGGCTGGTAGTATTCACTTAACGAGCCCTCGGAATCTGACCAGACGATCTTCTTGGTGACCTTTGACGGCGCCTTCGTGACTTTTGATGGCGCTTGGAGTTGGTCAGATTTCACCTTAGTCATGTCTATGTAACCTTTGATCTCCCCATCGACGTCCGGGAGCTCTAGGTAGGAGGTCTCGGAGGTGGAAGAAGACATGCGAACTGACCGTACGGCTTTCGAAGTTTTATCAGCAGGTCGCCAGTCGGGATCGGGCCCTTGATAGGACTCATTCTCGGAGCTGATGTCGGCACCGTAGTTGTACGAACCCTGGTCCGGTTCCAGTGTGTGGTACACAGGGTTCTTGCCGTTGGCGGCGGAATAAGGCTCCCTGTAGGACTCCTCATTTGAGGATAAATCCGCCCTTTCTGGATCACAAGCAGTTGGGGCAGGCATGGGTGCTCTTGAAGACACGGTAGCACGGGACTGAGGGCGTGTGGGACCTTTTCCTCCGGCCTTGGTGTCTGGGGACGTTTTGTAGATAGCATCTCCCATACCGTCATCCGAGGTTCCAGCAGCAGGAGGCACACTATAGCTTGGGCAATGTGCGTCAGTGCTGCTATCGCTGCTCATTGTCCCCGATCGGTGATGGTTGAGTGATGCCGCAGAATGTCTGCTGGGTACGGTACCCAAAGGCATGTACGACGCGCTCTCCCCTATCAGGGAATCCTGTCGCTGAGCCGGTTTGCCGTGGTCGGTCGAAAGCATGCTTCCCTCTCCATATATGCCGCTGTCGCCCATCATGTCGTCCATGTCGAAGGTGGTAGATTTCTTCCTTGTCGAGCGGTTCTCTGAGTTTGCCTTCATGGAGGATTTCAATAGCTTAGGAGCGTACCTGGACGAATTGGGCGTCTTCTTTAGGGCTTGATACGTTTGTCTCGGCGGAGGAGAGTCTTTGGTTGTGTCGTTGAGGTCCATATACGAAGACCTCTCGACTGCACTGGGTTGCTGCATGGGAAGATGACCGATGGTCCCGATGCTTCCCTCGTTGGAACTGTTCCTCGATTTTGATGCTGGCCCAGTCGTGGAATTTCCATTTTGCCTGCTGCTCTTTGGTTGTGATGAAGATGCAGACTTTGCCCTTGGCTTGGAACGGGTATTCGGTGTCACGTAGGAGTCGCTGTCCGTGAGATGTATGTTTTGGAGAGAGACAGCCTTACGTGGTTTCTTCTGAGATTTTACTTTCCCCAGGGTATCCGATAGCAGCTCGGTATAAGTCTGCGGTCTCGTTGTGGCGGTATCCAGAGAATCATCCCCAGGCGGTGGAAGATAGAACCAGGACTGGCGTCTTTGGTCCCTCAGTTGTGTCTCCGACCTCATGGACCAGTTTGAAGAATTGCTGTTAAGTGACGCAGGCCAAGTCAGAACGCTTTCTCTCTTGGAGCGCAGCGTCGGCCCCCTGCCGACGTCCCTTAATGATTCCTGGTCTGGCTCACCTTTTCTGGGAGCGTTAAGTTGGGAGGTCAGCCTATTGACTCTCATGAGAAGCCGGACAATGAAGGCGCACAGGGTAAAGTTAACAACAACTGTGAAGAGGAAAGCCGCAAACCACGGAACGCAGATTCGTGAAGTTGCATGAAATGATTGGGTAGGTAGAACATGTGGTGACTCGTTCAGAACAATGGTACTGCGCGACTCCACGTAAGTGTCTCGGTAAGGGACTCGACATACCACGCTGGTCATATTGTCTCCCCGTTGAACATTACGGATCGTTAGGATCGCGCCGCCATCCATTTCCTCCAATCTGTGCGGGTCGATTTTTGGGATGGTTTCCCAACTCAAAGTGGGCACCGCTGGGTCCGAGCTGCACAGGAAGTGAATGTCGTCTCCCAGGTTCACCCGCTCCAGACTGCGCACGACCTTCACAATTGGCCAGTCCATGATCCGCAGCGGTCCCAGAGAGCAGGTTCGGTCGGATTCTGGGTACGCCGGGCTGGTCACTCGGCAAACGTACGTGGCGCCCTGGAGATCATGCGCTACTGCCAACTGGAGTTCAGACACCATCATACTAGGAGATTCGACCGTGTGGTACACGGGCTTGGGAAAGGGGCCATCTTCCGTCACCCACATGGCACTGATTTGGGGGTTACCGATTTCAGAGACGCAGGTTACCGTCAACTCTGTCCCCGTGAGAAGAGTTTGGCTGCCGTTCAGCGAGCAGTACGGATAGCTGCTTGACGGGAAGTATAGCACCGATATGACTACAGTCTCCGACGCCATTGCCGAGTAACCGTACTCGTTTTCTTGAAGAACCTGGCACTCGTAGCGGCCGTCGTCGTCTCTGGTGACTTCACTGATGGTCAGGGTGTAGCTGGTCAACATCCCCGCGGTGATGTTCACACTGGTCATGTCCAGCTCGAACCGGGAAGACATCATCTGGCCCATGGTGTCTCCCCAGGTTATGGACCGCTGGTCTTTGCTCCACATTATGACTTGGGATTGATTCATGCTGCGGACTCGGCAAATCAGCGATGTGGAGTGACCCTCCATTGGGTGACTCTGCGACGCGCTGGCTTCCAACGTGACATCACCATTTACCGGATGATAACTGTAGAACAAGAGAACACCAACGAAAACACAGTACGGGAACAAGAGACCCGCTTTCTTGTCAAACATGAAAAATGTAAATGTTGGAATCATGGCAAGCCTCCAGAAATGGCAATGCGTCGTGACTCCGGTAGTTATAGACGCACAATGGCAACAATGTCAGGGCTGACCAATCGACGTAACATGCAAACACCTTCACACCTACAGACTTCGAGGAGACCCCGGCCTTGACTACCCGTTGTCTGCCAGTGAATCACGCTGTTGTCTGATGGACTGCTTTTGTTTCTCGTCATCGAGATTGTTAAATAAATAACTTGGCAGATAGCGTCCTAGGCGTCGTGGCCTTCTTCGTCGTGTTGCAGAAGCTAAAATGGCCAAAAATATCTGTGAAATTGAAAAGGAGAAACCATTAATTTTCCCTTTACATCAGCTTTCAACTTGGAGTTTGTCCATTCAACAATTAAAAAGTCACCCTTGCACCAAATCAATCGTTTTAACCAGTGACAAAAGTTGAGCTCAAAGCAAGGACGTACACATCTTTAAAAATTAGTGAACGACAATGATGTAAGAAGTTGAAATCATTGACATTATACCCGTGCCAGTTTACCTACATGTTCGTGCTGGCACTTACTGAGCACCCGACTATAGAGGGGCTTTGTATCATTTGTAAATTGTTTGGATATGTTGCACTTGTTTCCTGTTGTTTTTCATTTATTATAGTGTATATTGTATTTGATAAAAGGGGAATGAAAAGACGTGGCAGCATTGCAGTCGCTTAAACATACTTTTCCGATGTTTAAACTTTAGAAACCTAGAACTGAACAAATTCATAAAGGGATAAGATCGAAGAAACGAGAATTTTTTTTAAATAGTTGTACCGTTTACTAATTTTTGAAAATATATGGAAATTTAGATAGTAACTGGAGACTTCTTTATGAAACAAGGTCAGGGAGTCTGGAACTCGACCATGAATTCATAAAATTAGATTTGAAAAAGTTTACAAAGGAACTATCGCATTCTTCCTCGAAGGCAGTTTATCATTTAAAACAAGGATTGAATCAAAGCCATTTTCTTCTTATAGGTAGTGTCCATCAACGAAACGTAATTATCTTTCCTTACATGTTACTTGGATAGTATTTAATCCAAACTTTCTCATAGACTCTAATCTTCCTTAATGCCATTAACTCCAAAGCTGGCTGCAACTGTGCCTTCGCGACCCCTTTCGTTAAACACCCGTACAATTGCAATAACCTTCTTATAAAAGGGGATGTTGGGTCATCTGAAGAAAGTAGTCCAAAGCTTTGTCAACTGCACTAAATGTCTAAGTACATGTACCCGTGCAAGAAAATTATACATGTTGTATATGTATTCCAATAAACAGCAGACATGAAATCGTGTGCTCTTCGAAAAAAAAGTCTTTGACATCAGGAGTGCGGAAAAAATTCAGGAACTAATCCTGCCAAATTTACCGGTACTCATTCTTCTGTATACGTTATTCTCTAGCACATGTATTTTCTTTATGGAAATCGTGTAGTTCTGAGTTTTTGCAAGACAAGCTTGAGGTTTAGGTTTCAATTCTGAAGCAGCTTTCTGCATGGTATTTTTCTCCAAAGTGTAAAGCCATGTGATTTCAGTTTAAAGGAAAGAATAATGGAAAGACTAGCCATTCAGCCCGGCAGAAAGTGGGATGACAAGGAGAAAATATTCATGTATTTAACAATATAAATTATGTACCCGAATCTCTCTTCTGAGATATGTAAGCATGTGTCCTTGTACTTCGTGAATGACCATTTTCATTTTCATAAATGTTTACTTCATCACTCAGTCTGATAATCCCAAATATTGGCCTTGAATCCTTTATGACTCTCTGAGAGAATGAAATGTTGACAGCTGCCTGAATGACAGTGAAACTGTCACGTTGTCATGGATGCAGAGTTTAGTCATACGTCAGCCCTTGTTTGCAAAGTGCATTAAATACATATGTTGAGACAAGTTGTCCACAACAGAGATTAGAAAAGGTGGAAGAACTTTTGGAGTTTCCAAATCGGACAGATTTTTTTTATTTCGACACCTCCCACACGATCAACAGAATTTCTTAATTTTTGTGAAGAAACAAATTTTATCCGTATTTTTCCTAAGAGTATGTGGCCATAATTCAACCGGAAATCAAATGAAAGTGTATACACAAAAATGGGTGCATATTCATTTCCAGGTTTATCCCAAAAGGTAATCCGAAATAATGGGGAATGTGACCCAGCGGTGTTTACATACACGTAATGACCGGTTATAATTATATTCATGTACTTAAAATGCATGTGGAATTTGGCTAAGACTTGTTGGAATATGTAACTGAGGCTTTTTAATACTAACATTTTATTCCATCTTGTTAGCAGTAAGTTGGAACTCTTAATCTACATGCATGTGACTCACATTTATGCTGATTATTCGATTCGAATAATACAAGTTGCCAAAACTGTTTCGTATAAGGTGTAAGTTTCCACTAGTGTCCCGGGAATATATGACTTGTATAGATCTACGGAAACCTACGAGGTATAGTCCCACTTGACATACACATGTAGATATGAAATAGTCCACCCTGGCCCAGACGAGATAAACCACTTTTTCTGTTGGTTGAAATTTATTTCTGTAGGGAACAAAAGCTATTACCCGAACAAAAAACATCTAAGTCGCTAGATGTTTGCAATGAGCGAGCTGCACACTTTTGGGTCAGGGTGCACTGTGACAAATTATTGACTTTGACAAAACGATTTCAGTGAAACTTCACAGCGGCAGCAACTTTGGCAAAACGTATTGTGAAAATCTGCGGTGTCCTGGCGCCAACGTTTTACCACATACACCCACAGTTAGGGCTAGTCACAGCAAGGATCCTCCAACGACCAGGAATTTTGGACCTCTGATTTCGTATGGCCTGACTTAAAATACTTTTATTTCATACAGATTCAGAAAACCGAATTGCGGCTGGATATGTACCGATTTTTTCCAGTGTCTTTCTCTGCTTTCTATTTTACTCCAAAATCACTTCAAGACCAGCTTATACAGCTCTACGAATCGACATTGTTTTCGAGAAAAACGGGTGAATTTGGAAACAAATGTACACCGCGTACATGTGACTGCTCATGTACAAACCTCCTTGTATACAAACTTACTGCTTACCGCTACCGACGTTATTAAAGGAACTGAGTGGCTCAACTTACCGTCGGATCTGAGATGATTTTTTTTGCCGAGAGCTCTAGTGGTTCATCTTCATTAAAATGACTGAAGCGATGATGCCTCTTTTCATCGAATCTCTTTTCTGGCGCAAATAATTTACATCATTAACATCTCCTCCGATGAGTCCTCAGCGGACATTGTAATGGCGGACATCCGCTCGTTACATGTACATGTACTTTAACAAAACAGAAAAAAGGTCTTTGCTGTAGGGCCAAGATTCACTCCTAAAACTGATATGCGTGGGCTTACTTCCCAGCGTCTCTGCCAAGGAGTTCGATGCTGGCTTGCCCCAGAATGTTTTACGCCCGAACTCTTCTTCAAAACGTCCCTCCTGAGCGTCACATGAGATCGGGTGTTGCTTTGACACGAAAACTTTCAACCAGTTTTGGGCGCAGCAGCTCAAACTAGCATGCATCTGTTTATCAATGCTTTGACTGGTTAACAAGAATGCCCAAACTCTCGTCTACACGGTCAGTGAGTTTGAATAGTATTCCCAGACGGGAATGGTTTAGCCGGATCCATAACAATGGGACCCGAGAATATGCCTAGTCTTTGTTGGTTCAACCGGCTCATACAATAGTCCAGCCCCTATAAAAGAGAAGGGTTGTTTTTTACTGGGCCAGGCTAGACTGATGTGTCATGGTGTGAACATTTTGCATGTGCCTACACGCTGAGAGAATGTGCCAGGGACTTTTCGACCCCATCTGTACTTACTAATTATGCATTGCCATTACAGCTAACCAAATTTTAAAAATACCATGGCCTCTCCTGATTTGACCCAAAGATACGTCTGAAAGAGCCTTAATAAACGGAATTACAAGTTTAAAGATGACTGCATAAATTCATCTCTATACACGCAGTGCCCCCACAGTTAAGATTTGGATAGATTTGCTTTTCATTGTATACATTTCACGCTGAAAGGGCCTTGAAGACACAGTTGGGCCTGCTCGGCCGAAGAAGGAACTAGACAGAGTTGGGACAATGAAAGCACTTGAAGCATAACAAAAGAAACGTGACTGGCAAAGGAATCAAACTTCATACCCATATTTAAAGATACAAATTTGTCTTCAGCAGGTTTTGAAAAGAGCATTTAAGTTAAGACAATCTCGATGATAACACCCATTTATTTTATTTTTTTTTACAGCAGCAATAACATGAAAACGTAAGTACGTTTTAAATTCGGAGGCTGTGGGAGAATGACCTTGTAACGTCTCGTCGGCGTTTGAACAAACCTAGCGTTTTTGTCAGGACATGAAAGACGATTTAGTTCACATTAATTTCGGGTAAGTCCCAGAGTGTATGTCGCAATTTTTACCGAAATGTCAATGTACATGATGTCGTGTTTCTTTTCTGTGCTTCATGCAGAATCGGGACTTTCACAATTTCGCAAGAAAAGTCGATCGTGGTTGCGGAAAGGGCAGTTTATTCTCTGATAAAGTGCATCAGGGAATTCCCTTCAAGTACAGCTAACCCAACCATAAACTAACACGTGAAAGCCTGATGAACCCTGATCTGTGGTGCATCACGATACCAAGTGACAATGGGCCATTTTTGGCAATGTCTGTACTTTTGCTCCGGGGAGATGTTAATCTGTTACAGCTTTGCCCTTATACCGACGTGTCGTCTTAAACACTGTATTTTGTGCTTGTCCGAGAGCTAATGAAACGGTTGTATTGATATGGAGTGTCTTTGCATGCATACAGAGTTTCAGGAAAAACCGAGCGTGGCACTGCCGAGGTTTTTTTTTTAGGTGGGGGGGTCGCGGGTGTGAGTTTGGCCAAGATAGCCCGGCTCTTTGAGGGTTAATCAGGTGGTGAAATGTGGAAGGTGGTAACTCATACAAAACGGTTCTGGAACAGTTTTTGTTCCGTCCAGTTTTGACAATGGTGTTGAAAGCGTACACTAAAGTTGGCCCTTGATGGCGCACTTCTAGAACCTTCAAATAGGAAAAGAAATAGCGTTCAAAAGTGTTAGAATCCGCATTTTTTATTTATTCGTTTACTTTTTAATTAAAAATATGCTCTATAGAACCAACAATGCCTAATATAAGATTTGAAACTTTTCATGGTGGAGATAGCAGGGAAACTAGATAGGTTTGCAGTGGCACCATGGATATAATTATGATGTGGGGTTTTAAAAAGAACCGATGGCACTCAACATTTCGGACAGTATGCTTTGTCCGTCGTATGGAGACTGCCGAGGGACCACTGATGAGGCAGCTTATATGGTGTGTATAGAGGGACCTCCATACCAGACTCAATGAACACAAAGCCCATGGCGGGAAAGGGGAAACGACAAGTCTGCCATCACCAAGCACTCCCACATCGAAGACCCCATTCACTCAAAATGAGATATGAATATGTATATGGTGCCATCGCAAACCTATCTAGTTTAATACATAATATGCAAGAGAAATATCGTTCGAAAAATTGACCTCATATATTCCTCTTAAAATCTGAGACAATACTTAACCAGTGTTATAAATTTGTGCTTTTGCAATAAGGAATCATATTATTAAGCATGATAGGGGGCTAAGCGTGGTCCCATGTAAAATCCCCACAGGCGGGCCGCGCGAGGGAGCTCAGTGGTCGTTTAACGTTCAGGCTCGATCTGTTTCGATAGCGATGGTTGTGCACCGGCATCTTGATGACATCTTTTCGCCGTTCCGGTTCCGCTGCATCTGTGATGGCTTTTTCGGCGTAGCATACTAGCACAACGTGTACATTTTTTTCCACGGAGCACTGAGAGGGCATTAATAAGTCAGGTGTAAAAGTGATAATCCAATTAACTTTTTGAGGGATTGAAGAAAGCCAACGAAGAACCACCCCAAAGAGAATAAAATTTTAACGTAGTAAAATTATCTTTTCCATTTTTTCCTCTTCAGGCACTAACTAAACTTGACACTGAAATAAGATACAGGTAATGCATTTATACAAGTTATTCCCCGTCCTGCTTTTTTTCGAAGAGCATTGTTTCCTGACCACTTCTTCGAAAGCTGCGATACGCGTACGACGTCGATGCTTCGCTTTGGGAACTGCTTGCGTAGCATTGGCCAGTAAGTGCCGATAGAGGGGGTTCTTCAAATAGCTGCTGTGCACCTGGTAAGTTCGAGAAAGTCGAGTGAACGTGATTCAGTTTTATCGCACTATTCAGTTTGTAGGCTGTCACATAACTTTAGACTGCATTCCCTACGCTCAGTTTCTCAATGTGTTGTAACAGTGGGGGATGTATTGTATTTGTTTGTTGTGCAGGAGTTATTTTCACCTTTCATCTCAACGGTTTGTGTACAGCCTGCAAAAATATTGCAGCAGCGAGCAAATTTTCACATATACATAGAGTGCGCCCTCTTCTGAGCAATACCAGCATGGCTCCTTCGCGTATAAACTTCGCAGATGTGACTTGAACTTATTATCCCAATTGAGACCAGGGGCTGTCTCATTTGGTACAGGTGAATATCTGAAAATTTCCTGTCAACATGGTGAAAACCAGGGATGCCAAATTCCAGTGGTAAAGGTGCAAAACAATTTAAATTTATTCATAGAAAGTTATTGATTTCCCTCTATGAAATTCCAGTTTTCTCCCAAAAATTTAAGTTCCGCCTTTTTATAATTTGGTTTTGGTGCTGTTTCAATGGCATTTTGTTAAATTGTGTCTGTTGGCATACATCTGTTGGCAAGTCTTGACTTGATTCAGCACATCAGCCACTCTGGATTTCAGAATGTTTACATTTTTTCGAGAAAGTTTGGGTAAATGTTGAGTTTCCAGCAACTCTGAGCTAACGGCTAATTCCCACATCTTCTCCCATACATTTCCTTCACTGTGAAGTCTCGTCAATGTGTTCACAGTTCTCAGTCTGAACACACACAGGGACTCCAGCATCTCCTTGTGGAAGTGGCCGTACCTCTCCAGGAGACGGTAGCTGTGGATGAAGCTCAGCTCGTTGTCAAGGAAATACAGCTGGCCGGTCACCACTGATCGCTCCAGGTTGTGAACAGGACTGTCCATAATGAAACTGTTCCATTGCTGATTGACGAACATGTTCACCATTCTGTCCATGTTCCCGGTCAGGTAGTCCAAGACAATCATGTCTGACCACTGGGCAAGCTGGGATACCTGGGACCTGCTTTCACTGAGGGTGTCGAGGGGATGTAGACGCCTTTCAGGTTTCTGGAAGATCTTGGGCAAAAAGGCAGGAACCAGATTTGGAATCCACTGAGTGAAGATGACTTGATGCCCATCCAGCCAATTAGCAATGGTCATGTTTGTCCCCACAGCATCCCACTGATTGCCAGAGGCATTTATAATGCCAACTGCAGTTGGTGGAAGGTTTCTGATATGTAGGACCTGTGACAGGGAGTAAGCGTATATTTCACCCTGTATGAGATCAAGGCTGTTGCGGTAGCGACAACACACTTGGCGGCCATCTTGAAAGGTCAAGAGTCGGTTTTGAGAATGCCCACATCCGGGCACCAATCTAAGAACTGGAGTTTGTCTGGTCATTTTTGCTAAATCCGTGGCAGTGGTTTGCATAAGATCTCTTTGCAGAGATGCCTCGGTTGATTTACTCCAGAATATTCCATCAATCCAACATGGAGTTGAATTCCTGTCTAGTCCGTCGTCAGACAGGTTTGTCCATCTGACGGTGGCTCTTGGTTTTGAGGGCGAGACGGGAGTTCTTGCAGTCAGTCCTTTTGTTTCTTGAGGTTTTCTCGGAGAGGTTTCACTGTCTTTTGTGGCATCATCCTGGGGAATTAATGTCTCGAGTTTGCTCCCTTCCTTCTGGGTTTTCTCCATGTTAATGGAATACCTTCTACGCGACGTGGGTGAGTGCTCGTGAGATGGAAAAATTGCGGTCGCCACAAACCATATTGCAAGGAGACCAGTCACCAGAAGAAACTGTGGGAGACAGGACACCATACTCCCACGAGCACATCGCTTTAGTGAACAGGGACGCATTGCGTATGTTAACCCTCAACAGAGTCGAAGAGCCTTTTCGTGGTCAGTTGTGTTGTTTCATGCACATGGGATCCGAGATTGTGCAGCCCGTAATTTATGCATATCAACAGATTTAGTATATTACACTTTACAGGACCTTAATTTAAAGTTTGTGACCTCTGAAGTTTCTTTTAAAAAGTCGCAATCAATGGGTTGTGATCGGCAAGACACATCATCAGATAATGATCACTTTATAAGGAAGTAACACATTATTCTCGCAAAGAAAAGGTTCCAACCTGCTCCAAAGGCAGGATTTTGCAATGGTGAGTCGCATCACATTGGCTTTGCAGCGTGGCTGTAATTTACCTCCAGATCAACCCATTAAACCTTTGGCAGACTGTTCATCTGTAGCTCAAATCAGATTATCAACAGATTATCAGCTGTTTTATTTTTTGTCTTGTTTTCCTGTTTGGTGACGTGGTTGGCTGGTTGTTTGGCCGAATGCATTTTACAAGAAAAACCAGTGTTCATGCAAAAATAGCCCCCACTGTTGGCTCTGCTTCACTGATTAGAGAAGTCAGCTTAAATAACAAACGGGGATCATCCTCGGCTGTCTTGATAGAAGCATGAAGGTTGTTCTTTATACGTGGATGATTTCTTCCTGGGTCACCCAAGGTCATTGTCTCTACAAAACTCTTTGCCTTGCGGTCGCAGTGTAATCCATGGATTATGAGCTCCTACCAATCCTCTGCGGTATGTCGTCTATCGATTTTGTGTCTGGTGTCTTCCGTCGCTGCCTTCGTTTTTCCCTCCGTTATTCTTTACCAAATGTATGGGATCGAGGATTCACCATGGAGCTATAAAGTGATCTGATTTGATGGGATGGATACTGTGCATTAAGGGAGCGTTGGGCGAAGGATCCAACACTCGTTACTTCACGAAGGTCTTGGAAAAAAACCATACTTGGTACATGGAAAAGTCGTCGGTGGCAGCCTTAGTCTTGGTGTATCCGACGGTGGTCTGCTGAATCGTGGCTGAATAGTGGGAATCTGTAATCATCAAAGACAAATAATGGTACACATTTCAGTATGAATTTCTCTCTACAGACATGTTGTCATTGTCAACTCATACCAAATCGGGCAAAAAGGGAGCAAAATTTCATGCATGGTTTCCACCTCAGTCATTACCTTTTGGGATCTGCATTCCACGCAATTTAAAGCCCGGCTTAATCTTAAAGGATCCAGGAAATTAATTTTTCTCAGAATCACTTTTTGTGTATCTCTGTACTCTTCTTCCATGTATGAAGACTGTTTGACATCTTTTTTGAGTTATGTGAACTGAACAGTGCACTTTTTCAAACATTAAAATTGACCAAGCATTTCTGGACAAGTTAGGGCGTTTTTGCTTTGATGTAAATCCAGAAAGACATGGTTCAGGTAGCATGTTTTCATGTTCAAATTGCGAACCCCAAATTTGCTATCTGAGAACATTTCTGTGGAAGGGATTTTGCTGGATTATTGCCATATAATTACACGAACACAGCAATAAATTGCCAAAGAACATGAAATCTGAATAGCAGTGGTTTACAAAATCTAGAGATTTTCTGTGCACAAATCGGCGCAGCAATGAGATTCAGTGCCTTGGATGACATCATAGTTGAGCTCATAAATATGCAAATAACATTAGCATTAAAACCAATAAAGCATCAAAATATGGGTTAAAATAGCAAAACAAAAATTTAGAATAAGGTTAGGCCTAATTGAAATCCAAAGATGCAATTTCAAGGGGTTTTAGTAAAATTTATAAAAATATTTATATTTCTATTTTCTGATTCCTTTAAACTTTTGCCTTTACATGTATTTCCTGTTTCTTTATTATTCCACTGTATCATTTGTTGTTGTAGGCTTCTTTGGTTCTGTCAAATTTAAAATTGACAATGGCAGTCATTTTCTTTTTTTTTTGGAGAAACTTCCAAGGACCACATCCAAATACACCTCTACCACCTTATCAATACCTTTACATCAAGTAACTGAAAGACGATACCTTGTTAACACGAGGCCCATTGGTTAGTTAAGTCTACATGCCCCTCCAGAGAATCAATTAAATTTCGAATTTTTATTTCCTCGAGGTTAAAAGATAACATCAACATGGTTCCATTGAATATATGCATGCTTTTTTTTTGCTGGTACGTGTGTTCATTCATTGAACTCCGATTCTGCCACAAATGACATTTGTAGAATTCAACAAACAATGAGATGCTTTGCTGTTTTGTTCCTTTTGTGTCGTTTTGTTGTTTCGTTATGCTTTTGCTGTTTGGTTTGTTGTTGTTTTTTCGGTTTTTTTGGTGGTTATTTTGGTGTGGGGGTGGCTGTGCAATTTTTTATGGTAGAAAACTACGATTTCAAGCAACAACTGATATGCAGTTATTTTGTGGTCTTTATCCAAATTTCTGACCAGATCACAGGACTGATGATAGATACTGATGTAGGGTAACAATTTGAGCAGAGCAATGCATTGAAAGAAACCGGAAATTTAGAGGTTGTTTGACGGATCATTGTAAACCGTTCGTGCGTAGGTTGTCAATTATTACTGGGTGGTTTCACAGCGGTATATATCCAAATTGCTTCGAAGATGTAAACCGTAAATATATAGAATTCGTAAAAGGAAATGACTAGGCGATTTTCAGCTTGAACGTAAGAATAAGCCGAACACAGCAAGTTTTGAAATATTGCATGCATTATTTACATAGTTTCATCAACATTTGTCACTTATGTACATGTATAACATAAATTGTTATGGAGGGTCCGTCACGTTAGCATGACTTTCGGCAGTGTTTAAAAATTTTTCAGAGTGTGTCAGTATTCCAAACATTGTATACATGTGAATAGGCATGCAGGCTTTAGTTTAAGTGAAACAGTACAGGGGCACGTCATGCTCTGACGAAGTTGGTTTTCCCTTTTGCTGTCCAACGTGTAGAACAAATTTATCCATCAGTTTGGGCATTGAGATAAATGTGAATCACAATTCAAGAACAGATATCTGTAGTTGATAGGCTCAATGATGTGTGTCAGTTTCGGCGTGCTCAAGACATGGCAAAAACACCCCCACCACAGGGAAACACTGAACATGACGGTAACTTACTGAACCCCTTAACTATGTTTTGTATATCTAGTAAATGTCAGCAGCACGAATAATGTAATTTGACTTACCAGCTTGCTCCTTCCCTTGTGAAAGGGAGTGTTATCTTGCACCAGGACGATTGAAGTCGGACAAGACTATTAAGCTGCAGTGGACACCTATAGGACTGTCAGAGTGAGGCATGTCGCCGAAACACCCTGTGTCGTTTTCAAGTTCTTCTGACGGGATGACGATGACATCTGCGTCTAAGGAAGACTCACTATGTCGAAGATGCCATCACTGAAGTAAGTGTTATCTCTGTTTACCACAACGTGACCATCAGCGACATGTTCCATACCTCGGCAGTCTTGCCTTACAAACCGTAATAGAACTAGACATCTGACTGAAAGAAAAAACACTGTCACGTTACGGGTTGTTTGGACACCGTGGTTTGGCCGCAAACTCCGGGACTTGCAGTATTTCACAACAGTTACAATCAATGTTGGATTTACTGCTGTCTAATCACGTGGCGACCCGGCCGATTACCTCTATTGTCTAGGAATCAAATGCAGCCACTAAAAAATAAATTGTTGTTTTTGGTCTGTATTGCTTTGTTTTCATAAGCTGTAAAAATGTGTACAGTCATTAGAGGATATAATTAGGTACGGTTTGAGTACCCCCTACTGGTCTATTTTAAACTGGAATGAGGGCCTTACGTTATTAAGTTCGGTCCAGATATTTGCACCAATTCAGACCATATTACGGACAGTGAAAAGCAGGCTCTTTTGCTGTTACTTTACTTGAGAAGACAAGATATTTTAGTAAATGTGACAGGGTTTACGGGAAGATTATAGGTATGCCAATAATGCTTTTTAACTCTTCCAAAAGTGAAAATGCTCTTTCAAAAATTCGCTTCATTGTGCTTGTTCTCTATGTTGCTTGCGTTTGACTCCGAGATCAATGGAAATTCCTAGTGTACAAGTAACATTCCATTTTCCCACCCAAACTTCACTCCATCAGAAATAATTGCCCACGGGTCGGGCCTGGGATCGTAGCTCATTAATCTGTGAGTGATACAATAGGAAGCTCCTTGCCCAACATGCTGAGCATTGTCCGGAGACAAACGACTACACGGCTCAAACCCCGCGGTCTATTGACGCGGCTTTCGCTCAATCATGACGGTACATCAGCCCTGGGGGCGAGAATCGACCCGCTAAAACGGCAGACGACAGTTTGATGCTAGCATTATAGTTTCACGTTATTTTTTGAAGAGTGAAAAGTGCGCGTTCTTATTTTCCTCTTGAAGATTAGAGGACGAAGGAGCAGACCTCTACGCCTCATACTGTGGTATGAGCTTTCTTCAACGTTCCCTGTCACCTTTTGCATTCATGTACTAAAACTACGGGGGGGGGTAGGTTTTAATATCAAAATGTATGGAGTAGGTCAAAGAAATGGTCAGGTTGCATTTGGTTTGCGGCTGTACAGTTCTGCTTGAAAATTAATTGGGGCGATGGCCAGTCGGTCAGACTTTGACGAATCAAATTGCACAACTCCCAAAAGCATGTATGTGCAAAATACGAAGGCTGGGAGGGGCCTTGAGAAACAGGCAAATCAATGATACACAAATCCGAGATACACTGCATTAAGTAGTAGGACTCGATTAAGCAGTTTTGTTGCTAATATGGGACACCGTCTCACAGAGGGGAAAAAAATCAAAACTTTCAACTCGCCAGATCTAAAATGAGGCGTGCTGTAGCTACAAATCCGATAGGCTTTCGTACTACAGTGACACCACGAACATCATCACATGTACAAACATGGCATCTTCCGTCGCAAGTGGCAATTAACCTCACTGAGGCCGTGTCCGAAACGGGCTTCCAGAGCTACGGCTAGGTCTATTGTCTGCGCGTCTCCATGCATTTCCAATGGTGTGAATACCAAGACCTAGCTCTAGACAAGAGATTCGGGTCTAGCCTAAGAAAAACCTTACAACGACATTCGTACGTAAAGCGCCCTCTATTGTCTCACAGCCAAAATGACGATGTAGAATATTGAAGCGCTGTTTGAAGGATGCCACGCTTGAACGGCTCAAAGTGTGCACGTGCTCCACCAAACACGTCGCCAATCTTTCAAACATTTTTCTAAACAGAATCTGATAACGTGCTTCAGGTTGTTGAATCGGAGCCGCAGGGAGTGCGCAAGGTGTAGTTTTTCACCACTGTGCACAGTGTAGTCACGGGCGCGAAGCACGGTCGAATGACTGGGCTTACTCTACACCCGCTGATGTTCTGTATTAATTAATGATTTTTTAACTTCTGAAATTAATTTTACTTACTTAACTTAACGCCTTGGACCCTTCCCAGGATAAAGGCTGTCTGTTAGAGACCTCCACAGAGCTCTGTCCTGTACCTTTGCCTCAAGTTGTTTTCAGGTGATAACAAGCCTCTTGGTGTCTGCCTGGAGATCTCGTCGCCAGGTGTTTCTTGGCCGGCTTCTTTTCCTTCTGAAACGAGGACTATTAATTATAGCCATTTCATGATACGTCGATTCACAGTGAGCCAATTCACTGTTGCTACATGAGTTTGCACATTTCGTTCACATACGTCCAGTAACACACTAGATCTAGTCAGTGAATTGACCGTGCTCAAAATTGTTCCACGCTCCCTGCCAGGTAAAGTGCTGACCGTTACTCCAACATAAACCGCTGTACCTATGCCAAATTGAGGGCGCTCTCATGTAGAAATTCTAGGTTCATTACCGTAAATCTGTGGTGCATGTGTAAGTAAATATGCCCGTCTGCAGTAGCCAGTGCTGTGCAACAGCATAATAACCCATTATCACTTACATTGATAATAAGATGTAAAAAAAACACATCTGCCCAAACAACTGTTCAGTCATATTCATTGTCGGGAAAAATCTCCGCCTTTGTTTTTGCGTAAGGCGCCCTCTGTAAGTATGTAAGTGATGGAATAGGACAGCGCAATAGTGACATGTAGGGAATTCCGTTTTTCGTCTTGATGGTTTGTTCCAGTCTTCAAGTATTTGTGTGTACGTGGTCTCTTTTGCTACATTTTAAGACTAGAGAGAAGTGTGGAGTTACAGATTGAGTAACATCGTGAAGACTTGAAGTTGGACTTCCAATGAAAAATAGACCACTCACATTTTGCCTATAGTTTGTATGGGTGGCCGAAGTCTGCAGAAAATCCCCCTTTGGTTGTTTTTTTTCATTTGCCTCGAATTCCTTTAAACTGTACACTTGTCCAACTCATTTTACAGAGAGTTGTGCAACGTATTTTATTCAACTTACCTGGTAAGTGCATGTATTATTGTCTAATATGCTGATAGCTGTGTGGGATTTTTAACACTTTGTGAATTACCTTTTTTTACTGAGGCACTGACGGCTGGCCATAGTTTTAGCAGCCGCCTTTAGGAAAAACATAACCGTGATGTAAAAAGAGCAGACACTTGGAATACTACTACAGATATTTAAATCGTGTTAGAAACAGGTTTGTAATACATTGACCAAATTAATGTGGCGCGGGAAAAGGCTAATACTGTGAGACGTCTGAGGTTTTACCTCACAAGCGTCAGCCGACATGCGTGCACTTTGCCCCATCAGTAATATGATCATTAATGCCAACCACGTTGTTGTTTCTCCAATGAAAACCATGCCGGCTGACATTTTACACAGATTGCGTTTCAGCTTTGTTTTCGGCAAAATTGCTCCCAAATGGAACCGCCTTAGATTTCGTCTATTTGCGCGCCAAATCTCATCTCTCGCTCGGTGCCTTTGCCCGAGGCAACGCGAGACCTAACAGTCCCTATTAACCTCTGATGACCTCACTTTATGAAGTTCGCGCCATTCAGGTTTTTTTTTTGTTGGGGGAGGGGGTCTTGTAATGTAGTTGCAGGCCGTGATATTTTATTGATTGTTTACAGCCAACGACAAATAAATTACAGGAATGTTACTCGGTCAGCTAAAAAATTGACATTTGGGGTTTGTTTCTCGCCTCTGTATATCCCGAAAACAAAAATGCCGTGTCCAAAACCTGCTGGTTTTAAAATTGTTCTTTCAATTAGTCGGGCTCAAGTCAATAACGCAATGTATTGAGCGTTTCTCCCTTGAATAAACCAAAATTTAAGGCTACAAATTTGGGCAGTGAATGAGATAACTAAGCAAAATGTATCTTTTCCAACTGGAATAGACTGATAAAAAGAAGATGAAGAAGAAAAATGCCCTCAAGGATTTGAGCCGCGGACATCCCCATTCTATCTGCTGAATCCACTGCACTGGGCAAGGCTGCTCGCCCGATCTTTTTTTGAACATTTTGTGCCCCAAAACTATAAATAATGAAGCTAGTTACGTTATTTTGTGTTTATTATAATGTATATACCGGCATACTTTGAATATGACATTTTGCGTTAAAAGCCCCGTTTATTAACTGTAAGGGTTAGCAGGAGCCGATTTTTAAAAACTCACCTGTCGTCATGTAGCTCCCCTATTGCCCATTCTCTCACAAACGAAAACCACTTATACACTGCCTATAAACATGTTAAACTTTCAACACAAGATGGGGAGATATTGGTCTCATTTGGGGGAAATAATTTTGTACAATATAATGGAATTTATAATTTCTTAAGCGGCAATTGCCTGGAGTGGCAATTTCTTGTACATATTAGATCATTAAAAGAGTTTGAAAGTACCGTCGGTTTTATTCGATGATTACATTTTGGACTTTTTTCTCCTGTTAACCTTTGTCTTGTAACCTATGATTTTGTTCTCTCGACTGTACTTGTTTTCAATGGAACTGTTGATGGATGGCCTTAGCATCCTATTTTTAAGTCTCTTGCCTTGCAGAGAAGAAAGACGACGGACAATGGGGCACGTCTCTTTGTTGTAAGCTTGCAAGCTGCGGATCAAACATCTTTTGAAGTAAACAGAAAGCCAAAGGTTGTCTGGAGTGCGTGCGGATATTATATTCCTATACACCTGATCGTGTCATCATAGTCGCACAAAGAGGTCAATTGACTGGAGTTTAACCGCCCATCTGACAATATTACACTTTCTTGCTCTTATGATCTACCTCATTTATCAGTTTGGCGGAAACCGTAACGGCGAAGAGATTCCCATAGTCCGATATCCGGTGAGTGATTTCCCGTCCGCGGCAGCGGGAGGTGCACGGTTAGTTGGGCCGAGGCCCCCCCAGGATATTTGCCCTGGTAATAAAGGCAGAAAATTAATACTTGAGGACGTCTGAAAAAGGGATTATTGGAGAATGCTTAACTGACGGATTCAAGTCTGCTG